AAAGACCTTACAATAAGACTATAAAAAATAGGTCAATGCTAGTCATGCATACTTGTAGTTCATCCAATACTTCCTATATACCGAAAAGAATATTAGTTCTATAATTGTAGCCTTTAGACTTATTTAATTAAAAGTCATCTAGGATCTCATGTAGGATACCATTTATACTTAATGGATCACACTAGTGACCTTATGCAGAGTTTTTTTCTCCAACCCTATTTCAAGAATAACAATATTTAAAAAATATCAAATAAAAATAGCTAACTGTCTTCACATTGATTTGCTGGAAAATCGATAAACTAAAGTCACACCTACAGCGTTAATGGTGATATGTTTTGAATGCAAATAGGTTATCTTCAGTTGCCAGTTTAAGGTATTTTCTCGTGACATCGTTGGTAATAGGTACGTACCTATTATCTTTAGTCTCTGTGTACTAGTCGTGGCTCTGCCTCTGGGTGCCTCACTGTATGGACACAACGGTAGCACAGACGGCTATCGGATGTTCTAAGTCCGAAAGGACTCAATGAAATGGATACTCTGTTTGTTCTCTCGGCCGCTAACTCCGAGCACGGTTAGCCAGTCGCATCGAGCTCAATTATCGTCACGTACAGACCCTATCAGCGATACGACTGTCTGTGCATCTGCCTGGACTTCTTCGACCGGCGGTCCCAACTCCCTCTGCAGTTATCTTTAGGAGACGGCGTCGTCAGTGGTGGCGGCGGCCAACAGCGCCGGCTGTCGATAGTCTAGACCGTGAATGGGCTGTTCTAACTGGCTGCGACCGGTTAAAGGATACGCAAGGAATCGTCTCATTTGGTATCTTCCTTAGGAAATCAAAGGAGAGAACCACAGTAGGAAGTTACATGTAAACGTTCTTAGACCGTAACATGACAATGGTGCCATGCGGTCCCTTTGATAAGACGAAAAAACAGGGACATTCATGTAAGCATTGTAAAACTAAGTCATTAATTTATTGTATGATTACTAACTCGAAAAAAACGTTGTTTGATAACAGATGAGGTCGACGTCACTATGTAAAAATTGTACCTATTAATCTTAAGGTTGTATTACAATATACGAAAACTTTAACTAGCGTTTCGAATTCTCTAAAAACACATTTGATGTTCCAGTTGCAAGCCGGTTAGAAGCTCAAAATTTTCCGCAATTAGCAGACTCATGGTACTCCGTCGTACGCCTAAAGAAGTTACTCGAAAGTATCTTTTGTTGTCCTTGTCACTTGTTGCCCATATGCATAAAGTGGCCGTCAAGTACCGAAGTGCCAAGTACCAAGCGGCCCACCCAATACACAAATGGTATTTTAATATAACCAAGTCGACATGTAGGATCTGAGCTTTACCAGCAAAAACAAGCAATATGTAACAGAGGAAAGCAAGTCAAACCAAAATTGTCAAAAAGAACATAAGATCAACATATAACAGATCTAAGTAAACACAGTACGACATAATGAGGTATAAAAAAAATAGAGGACTTAGTCTTCTGACGCAAAAGGAGTATATAATGCAAAACGACCCGAGGGAATGGGCTACCACTCTTCAGCAACGTGTAATATGCAGTCCAACAGTGAGGATCATATACAGAACTCTGTGTGAACCGAGAAGAGCTTGACCCATCTGGTAAACTAAAGACTTCGTTCTTTACAAAGGCTTGCATCTAGATAGCAATTAAGTTTGAATTAGCTTGACGCTGTCGCCTGAACGAGCTTGACCGGATCACGACTACTACAAAGACGTTAATAAGTCGTTGAATAATTAACTGTTCCTCTGGAACAATATGAAGTATGCTTGATGCGATTTTATTTATAAGCTGTATTGAAATGAAAGTCTAATCTAAAGTATATACCCTCACTAAACTCAAATGAAGTTTATGCATTAAGATGGAGTACGAATTACGTCACACTTAATCAAGTTAAAAACATGTATACGAAAAAATTAATTGTGGTCGGTAGATAATAATTTAGAATTGAAATGGTCAACTTTGAAATGACAGCTGTCCAGATAAGTCTAAACAACGTGTTATATACTTGAATAATGGCATACTGTTAAATACTCATATAGCAGTTCAACGAATTGATAACTGAAATGATAGGACAAAATCTTTATTGGCAATATCAAAGAGAATGGAGAATGGTATATTGAGTTTTATGCTTCCTTTCCTTGTTTTCCATTACGTATTCGGTACGTAGACTCTATCGAGCGTCCTCCTTTAAAAAAAAGAAGAAGAATCTGAAAAGATCTACTGCTTCGAAAAGTAGCAGACAGATCTCTTCAGAGGTGTCAGGCAGCGTCTGCTTTAAATTTTGATATAATAGAGATGCATCACGCTTTTAACTAGGACTAAATATTACCGAATCTGGGAACGCATGCATAATTTGCAATAATATAATTTTCCCGAGCTCGACATTTTTTCGAAGGATTATGGCCAGACGAAAGAAATCGGCGTAACATTTATCAATTCTGACAATTATAGCTAAGTACTGTAACAAATAAAACACGATGCGTCAACTAGGTCTTCACTTACTTGAGCACCTATTCAGCCTTTAATGTTGAATACATAAGTTAGGAAAAATTAATCATTAAATTTGTAAGCTTAAGAGTGACTGTATCGTTGATTTTTACTGCCTACCGGTGCTGTTGCCAATTATTCAGTAAAGCAGTGGACACGTAGATGGCTCGTACGGGTTGAACCAACGTTTATGCCGCTACTGAATGAATGCGTGCCATTCTTTGTGTACCACAGCACCGGCGATCATCAAAGGGTTGGTCTTTCAAAACAAAAAAAAAAGGCAACGGGATCCTTTCACTAATCTGAATGCACACTCCAGCGCGAAGATCAAACAGAACACAAAAAAGAAGATGTACAAAACATTCGAAGGGAAAAAGCAAGCTACGAAAGGAACTTGAACACGCAAGCTGATGTACAGGATTACACTAACGTGGAACGAAACCTGGTGAATAATGAATGTTCTGACCTCCAAGAGCCTTAAAGCTTGCTCCTTCAGAACTGTCATAATATTTGATGAAAAATCTTTCGGTGATGACAAAGCTCAATAAAAAGACTATGCACCGGAAATCTGAATACTCGAGGTATCGATTTATTCTAGATGTCTTCCGGTTCAGCTGATTTAATTGAGAAAATATCAGAATCCACACATGTGACTTTTTATCTGATAATTCTATCGAAAGTCTCAGTAAGCAAAAGCGTTACGTAGATGTCTTTTCTAGTAAAACATTTCCGTCTTCGATAACTTGTGCGATGACGATGATTCCAACTTCATAAGGCGACGTGTCTTTTTTAGAGAAAACCATCGTTATGCTATACTTGTTGAACTATAGAAGGCCTAACTGATAGTTTTCCTGTCAGGACGCAGTCGCTCTCTGTTGTTGGTATCTAACCGAAGCAATACTTCCTCCTAAACACACATTCTTGTTGAGATATTTCACAAGACATTTAAATGCATGAGGTAAAGTAACATTTGATTTGGTTTGTTGACACAGTTGAATAAGGCAGATGGCAAAAGACTACGAACATAACTGTTTTACAATAACGCATCATAGTTTATGATACACTTATTTTAACCGTGCGCGATCGATTGCGAATATATATTGAAATCTTCTTCAACTTGCCGATTTTGGCTATCCAAGCATTTTATAGAATCCGCCAAGTTTAGGAAGTTTTATAAACTACAAAGCTACTTATTTTCTGAATATCACGAATTAACGCTCAAAAAACGTTTATTTTATCAGACGGGAAGCAGTGCAGTATTTACATTCGGGTCCAAAGTAAACACTATAGTATATTAGCGCTGAGTAGGGTCTTTAGTGCCACCGGAAAACTATTACACACTACCTAATGTTACCCTGAAGAATAATTACAGCTTTCTACATATTTTTATTTAGATTACTTTGCGAAACTCGTTGTGAAAACTCGATATCTTACGGCCGTTCTCGTCCGGTGTATAACTTCTACTTTAACAGAATTCACTAGAACATTCCCTGCGCATTGTAGAACAACGAATCCCACGAGGCAACAATGAAGACAAATCATTAGCACGCAAGAAAACTCTAGTCAGTTTCATGATCAGCTTGTGTCAAAAAAAACAATGCAAAGTACATATCGCTGCGTCAAGTTATATTTATTCCCTAACATAAATGGATAAATTGTTGTGTGATATGATCAACTGCTGAAGAGAAGTACAGCTTTCTCCCTGACTCAACGAAAATATATAACATTTGCTGCCCGGTTGATTTCATTACTGTAAGATCGGTTCCAGTGCAAACTGTTTCCCGCGTCGTCGACTACGGTTAGATCGTAATGCTTGTGTATTTGTTTTGCGATCAGTGGCTATCTTTACGGCTCGCAATTCGTTTCTAGCTGTGCGTTCTCTCATAGACTTGCTGTCCGTGACTCATTGCTGAAAATCCACGACCTCTACAGTTGTAGTGGGTCCCGTTGTGCCCCCGGAGACATTCAACTGATGAAGCCTCCAGAACCATAATGATAGTCACAATCAAAATGGTCAATCGAGACCGAACCTTACTGACTATAACGTCTTACCAATTGCGGTTTCTACTTGGAACTAGCACCATGTTACTAGTACAAAAGTGAACTAGTGATGGCAAAAAAAAATTTTTTTGGCTATTCTATTAAAATGTCGTTAGTTTAATATATGGCGTGCTGCATGCCCCTGTCACAGGTTGGGACATCTATGCACGCCACGATGTACGAATGCGACTTACGCTCGGGTGATAAGGTTTCGTAAACTTGATTTGCTCAGTAACTAATTCCACTAAGACCAAAACACAATTCCGGAAAAAGCTATGCTGGAGACTACATCCACTTTATTACCGGAAAGAAATTATTTGAATGTCTTCTCTCCAATATAGTTTATTGCAATGTAGCACCACATTAATAATCCTCGTTTTTTCATAAATATAGATCTTTGTGTAGGCACTCCCACCACTACTACAAACACCAGATGAAAAATCGCAACGCTTTTGAAAAAAGTGACCCTATCCGAAAAGGTAATACCGTAACACACCCGAACAGTAAGCACTATTAGCATTACACTGTCCTCCGAACATCACGCTGTTAATTTTAAACCAATCGTGTCACAGGTTCTGTGGACTATTTTGTCGAAGTGTCGGCAGCTTCGAACGATGCTCTGCTAAATCTTACTATGTAGTGTGGGAAATCATTAGATGCGTTACGACTAAAGAACTTATGGATGACGCTTCACTAATTGGTCCTGCTTTCCCTATCTTTATTCAGTAGCGCGTAGCCGACTCTATAACACTTGTATATTTTTAAATTGGCAGGAAAAAACGTAATTGAAAAATCTTTTTTTTTTTTTCACTAACCCTTATTACTAATCCGTCATGTGCGATTTGAGTAAAAATCGTCAACATTGGCAGAAATAAGACTCGGCAATTTTCAGGAATTACACTGTTGTTAGCTTTATTTTCATTGACAACAAGCTAGTCATGCTTGTTTCTGGTGGAAAATATCCGCTTCTTCTTGCTTGTATTTTCTTTATCCTGATACGTCTGTAGCTACTGAGCATCGTGCTATTAACGGTATAACGCACGTTCTATGTACAAGACAAACTATTTCTTTGCAAATGAATTCAAAAACACACTGGTAGAGTCAGCTGAGAATAATTCTTCTTATGCTCAGTTGTTGGCAGCAATGTCATTCTCAGCTCAATTTTAACTTTCCATTCCCATTATTACACGAGACTCGTGGGCTATAGACGCAGAACCGAGTTTTGGAGGAAAAATCGGAGATTATTGAGAAATAAAGTGCTAAAGAAATAAGTGCTCTGTTACTCCTTGACACAATAATTGGCTTGTAGCGAAATACAAATAAATACGTCCATTGTTTATTTTTCCAATCTATTTTGCATGTCTTTCTGGAGATAGAATGGAGCTAACTGTAATGAAAATGTTATAAGTGTAGTTTGTATTACTGCCAAGGACAGTTTCTCTAGTCAGACTTCGAATTTATCCGAGGAAACATGCACCTTGTATGCTAATTTTAGGTTGCACGGTCTGCACAGGGTTATGATGCTTAACTTAACTAGATGGACAATCAAAAGCTTCTTTCAAATACGACTTGAAAAAGACACTAAGCTGAATAACAAAATATACTTATTAAATCATTGTGTTTCCTGTAGACGCACCCAAATAAAAAAAATAATACTTATTCCTTACTTCTTTGGCAAAGATGCAAGTAAATTGAAATTGAAACTGAACAAACAAGGATTTCATTTAATTAAATTGTATTTGTAAATCGCAACTATTATACAATAATGTTATGCCATAATAGGGCTACTAACGGGAAGTGTAATTGATTTTTGGTAAAATTGATTCGATGATTAATTTGCAGCTCTAAGGCAGTATGCTTTAGTTCGGTGGCGGCTCTAGTCTACTAAGTTACCTTTTTTACCAAAAACTTATGTTCAATAAAACCTTATAAAGACTTGTATAAAATTTACTGTCCTGGATACCACTTGCCAAACTTCACTTCCCAGCTTTTGGACTCTTGTTATCTAGAGTCAATATGGCCATATATTGCAAGGCGCCCGATGTGTCAAACAAGCTTACTTTAACACGCTTATCCTTGAATCCGTCTACTGTACATTATCATTCATAGAACCTCTTCAATCCAACAGCATCTGATGATTATAGCAATGTGGCTGGCCTCACGTTACGAATTCCCTGCGCTTCGAAGCCACACTGAGGACATTCGAATTTCTCGTCGCTTAGAACGTTGCTTGCCACACAATAGTAACAATAAACGTGCCGACAGCCAATCTCGTGTGGTTGTGTCGGTAATTTTGAGCAGATGCCGCACGTTTTGTAGTCGGCAAGACTGCGTTCCTGTATGAGGCTAGCTCTTGATTGTTCCCGCTTGCCGTAGAGTTTACGAAGAGCGTTTCGGAAGAAGGATCGACTTCCGCTCGAACTAATTATGGGCAGTAGAAATGCTAGAAACTCCGCAAAACTCGTCCAGAGAAGTTCCCGCGATAGGGTCTCATAGTCTGGTTGACGCATGCTCGGAGGTCTCGAATGATACAGCTTGATACCGAACAGCCGATAAAGCAGGCTTGGGTAATGGTTTTGTGTGATGAACGCGTAGAAATTGGCGACGCCGGCTAAACGGATTATTCCGTCTATTACTGTTGCACAGCGCTCCGCACGAATCTGGTCACGAATGACAATATTCAGAATACTAATTAGAAACCGCTCCCGGAACCACTGGGTTCCTGCAAGTAATAAAAGCATCGACCACAGTTTCCATTTCATTAGAGGCTTCCCACTTCTATCAAGCATGGACAAATCCAGAAGCGACTGGCCAACTGTCGCAGGCTGGTTCTGTAGCAAAAGCACACTAAATAGAGAGGCCTTTATTATAGCATCTACCTCGAGCGACCAAAGCGCTAGAAATTGGCTGCGTTCGAAGTATTTGAAAGCACCAGTTAGTTGATTTTTGAGAATAGTAAAAAGCTGATCGTCAAGTTCGAAAGCGTCTAACTGATCCACTCGGGAACCGATTAGCTTAGACACGGCCATTGTGATTTTTACCACAGGGCATAATTTTCCCAAATAGTAAAAACCACCTCAATGGATCTGGACAACTCGGCACACATGCGCACAAACACCGATTAATCACTTAAGCTTGTACTAAACTTGTATTAAAGCACTTGTATTAACCTCTGAGTGTTCCTTTTGATAAGAAATAAGTATATCTTCTAATCCAACTATGGTATTGTACCACTATACGGACTTTTTATCCAAATAGAACAGCTACTATCTGTGGCATATAAACGTCTATGAGCATGGTTCTGACGATAAGGAAGGACTACTTCTGCGTGTCAAAAATTCCCAAACGTACATCTCTCTGTTTTTCATGTTTGTTTACGTTAGGAAAGGGAAGAAAATAATTTCGAAAATCGATGCTGGGTTCGAAGTCATAGCAAACACAAACTATTGCTTTAAAATCAATTTTTCGTATTCAGGTTGACTCGGTATAAAATTTTCACCTCATGCCACATGGGAGTAGCTACGCCCTTTAACCTAATTTGAGATTACCATTCGGCACATAATATTTGTTTAAAGCAATTTTTCGAAATACTACTTTGCGCTGGTCAACAAATTCTATCCGCGCATGTGTATGGCTATCGCGGGGATGTTCGATAAGAGACGGACTTCTTTCTAAGTGAAACAGAGCAGGAAAAATAATAAATAAAATTTAAATAGTGGCCTTTTTATCAAAGGACAGAAACAAACTCACTTAGTTGTACACGGCGTAGTTGCAAGCCATGTTCGCCAGGATCTCGCGTAGCGTTGCCCGTGTCCAACGGCAGGTTCGCTTGAAAAGTTCCGGTCCTATTGAACCGTACTTCAAGAAGTTTGTCCCCCGACGTGCTTGCCTTTATGTGCCTGGCAGTGACATATCGAAAATAGAAAAAGTTCAAAGCCTTGATGTCGACGCGCTGATTCTTGATTGTGAAGATGGTGTAGCTGCCACTGCCAAGGTAACCGAAACACTGAATATACACATAGGTGCATGAAATGTTGAACAAAATTATGCCTTTTCTTTTGCTGTTATATGACTTGCGTCGTTCAAAGTCAACTACAGTGCCATTATTTACTACTCCAGTGTTTTCTGGGTCGACACTTCTGCTTCATTTAGTGTTTTATGGAATGTTCTAGGTCGAAGATTTTTAAAAAGAAACGAATAGATTCATGTTGATATCCCAGTAATTGTCATTTTGAATAATCAGTTTAGAAACTTCACAGTGTATTATTTAGCGATAAGATGTAAAGTCCATTATTGAAAATTCAATGGCTTTAGGTTAAATGGGAAAGACAAATTGCAAGGTATACAAGAAACTAATTTACTTCTTGTAGAAGAACGTTGTAGCTGTGTTGGGTTATGAAATTATAAATATTCCGGTAACGAAATCTAAAGTTGTTTACGGTCGTAACAGAACTTTACCGTTTATTTTAGTCGATAATTTATATGGAACAAAAGATGAAGTACTGAACTATCCCTTTTACTTGTATTCTATATATATGTTCTTAGGAAAAAACCTGCTTTAACCTGTTTTGCTGTCCAAAATATGAAAAACGACTGTTATGTTCTAGTGGAATTTTAAATCAAGATTTTTTATATTATTTAAAAAGCTCTAATCAAGCTGTCATAAGCCGTCCCAAATTACAAAATGTAAAAATTTTAACATAAATCGTATACAAATATCGCTCGAAAGACTATAGCTATAAATGTTTCAAGGTTTACGTCCAGTACTGCTGTTAAGAATTTCTTGGGACGGTTGCCCCCACAATGTATCAACGCCCGATTTCTAATCTAAATCACTTCATATTCTCTTAATTTTAGTGATCAAACGTGTCGCCACTAAACCGTCATGGCGACAGGATTATACTAGCTGTACGTCATTTATTTTACACCCTCATGAGACCCTACATTCCATATGCTATCATTAAACCATATTGTTTTTGGTGGTTAAGATGCTAATGCTCACTGTACGAAAATCTTTATTTATGTGGTTCGTAAATGTAGACTTCTTTTTTTTTTTACTTGACTAACATAATGTTGATGCGAGCGCTCATCATGATTCTATTTATCTTTACATTTTTGTTCGTCTCATTAAATATTACATATTTTACCAAAAATGTTTGCAACATTTTTAAAAGTGCTAGCCTTTGCCTACGTAATGCAGTATTTAGTCGTTCTAAATTTGTTGGAGGTTGGTGATGAAGTATTGTTGTTTGGCCAGCACAATGGAATAGGCAAATTTTTTCTACGTTAAAACTTTCGCGATAGCTTTAACATGAATCGACTTTGCCTTTCACAGCAATATATACACATAATAGTAAAGTGGATTATGACACCTAAGAGAGAATAGTTCATAGAATGACAAGGTTTTTCTTTTTCAAAAATATAGATATCTTTAGATGCACTTTTCGTGTACTCTATTGAAAAACTTTTTTTATTGCTAAAAGAATAGATATTTCAATTGGCTACTTAGCTCTGTCGCTTCTAATGGAATTGCTCTTGCTCGTATTTACCTTCTAGTACATAATGGAAGTGGATCTTCTCAGTGTAGGAATACACGTTTTACGTTGAAAGGGTTAAAGTTAAATAGGGTGTTGAAACAATGAGCTAACTCACGTGTCATGACAAGCGAATCTTTGCAGTACAATACCAAATATAAATCGTATACGATCCCCTAGCTCATTATTAAATTTCCACATCACTGCTAATGCATTTTGTTGAAAGATAGCTAATTAGTCATGTGTGTTTTTTCTGATACATTAGGAGACAGCACGCGACACTATATTGAAAGCACTGGATTCGTTCAAGTTCGGCCGGGCGGACGTTGGTGTGCGAATTAACTCGGTGGATTCAGGATTAGCAGAAAAAGATTTCGATCATATATTTCAAGCCAAACAACTTCCTCATTCAGTTTATCTACCAAAAGTTGAAAGCGTGGAACATGTCACATGGGTAAGAGAGCACATGTAATGAGTAAAACAGTAGCATATGTGAAGTCGAATGCCGGATGTTTGTGCCGGACAGATATTGCACAGTTAGCCTGTAGACGCCTTGACGATTCTTGTTTTTTTTTATACTATAATCGCTAGTATATAGTCAGGCTATACGCATATGTAAAAGTACATCGGACTATGCGGATGTTTACAAGATATATTAGTAATTTAAATAGTTTGTCTATTTTAGGTTCTAATTTTTCGTGTATCTCTTCCTGTTGTTCAACATTAGGTGGTGGACCATGTTAACAAGCGACTTCTAAAAACAAAAGAGGACTCTTGTAAAATGCTCAATATTGTCCTATACATCGAATCAGCTATTGGACTTATTTATCTTAAAGACATCCTTCAACATGCATCCGAACTCTCGGAGATAAGCCGTGGCGTTATTGATGCAGTTGTGTTTGGCTCGGATGACTTTACCGCAAACATCGGTTAGTATATTTACGCTGTTTAGTTATACCAGTTGCTGTTTCTTTTTTTTAATAACACCTGTGGTATAGTTGTGTCAGTAACGTCATATCTAAACTTACCTAAGCAATATGTTCGTGTCAAGTGACTCTTCGCAATGACGAAAATATATCTCCCAAGGGTAAATCAGTTAGCCAAAAATAATTTAAAGAAATTGCTTTCTTTATCGGTTTCTGTTAGGTTATAATGTAAATATAAATCTGCCCGTCAAATATCCTATCCATTATTAAAGTTAACTTCAACTGCACCTTATAAACCGATATAAATGAAATTTCGTAGCCCGAACTCCAACAATACACTTTTTGACGGTTCATTTGTAGCGGTCTCACGGATAGCAGGTCCCTGACTGAACACTCAGGAATTACTAGCTAACCTGCTCAATTTAATGCGGCAAATTTCAATTAGAATAGTTTATGAAGAGAGAAGAGGGTGACTTACGAACTGTAGTGCTATGTGGTGGGTTATCGGCTGTGAAACCACCACATCATGGTAGTAATGGCGATAATGGCGATAAATGATGCATCTTTAGTTTTTCATTTTTTTACGACTACTTTCAGTTAGCACCAATTAATTCGAACTAACTCTACTCAAACGTAGAGCAAAATGTTTGGGTAGAGATAGTTCGAACGCACAAATGTTAAATCTTGTCGGCAACCAGGAAAGTCACTCCTAAACTTTAATCAAAGTAGAAGAAGACATGTTATTTGTAGTATGTATATCTATTTATATTGAAACATGATATTGTTGGTCTTCAATTGGCCTAAAGAGTACGTACGATTTTTCTATAATATGAGTACTATTCGATTGCCCAAACTGTAAACTTCCAAGCAGTCTCTTTCAAAAATAATATTCAGTAGTTATCTTTTGTCTAACCTTTTAAAGACTTGGTATTTTGTTTCGTGTCGAATCTTGCTACAATTTATTTCGTCATGGTAATTTAACCGTCTTCATTTTTCAAGTTACTTTTTTTGTAATAGGAAAACATGGCGAGACTGAGTCAGCTAGATACCTATTGCAAACTAATTCACTTGTCATTTTACATTACCAACTCTTTACGAAATTCTGTTTACTGAAGTAAGTGATTAAAATCGCCCAGATCAATTATAAGAGCCGTTATTTCTTAATGAAGTTTCCGCTATTGTCCTTAAAATGCAAGAACAACGGTGATAATAGCCTAGATAACTTCAAATAACAATGCAAGAAAACTAGGCTTCATTGATGATCATTACGCCATTGGAATAATGGCGCGAATAACTGCAAATGAAGAAGTATTTAAAACTGCACCATACTGATTTCATCTATCCTATGGTCAAATATGCCGAAAATGTTGCAGACTGCTAGGACATGGTTCCATTCGATTAACATGAAGTTGTGGGCCCGAAGTATTAAAAATTTGTAAGCAAGAATATCCCCCCTCCCCCACTTGTAAAAGTACCTACCAATCAGTTATTATTATAATTAAAATTATAATTAACATTTCTTCAAACAGTTTTTTGATTAGTGATTGATTATCAATTACGCAAATATTTTCTGACTTTGATATTGTGGAAACTTGCTTCATTTCTTAAAGAAAGCAAGACGTGTTTTGGAACACGCAGACTAACCTTAGAGCTTGTCTCACACACTGTTTGAACATTTAAGCTAAACAGGAGTCCAAGTTAAGTACTCAATAATTTGTACTATAAAGGTACTACAAAACAGATCTTTTCTTTGCTCTTTCGATAAGGCCCATTAAATTTAATCTGTAATTTTTAGATAATATAGCAACAAAGGAACAGTAGGTTTAGGATTACGTGTCAATTTTCAGTTGGAGAACCTTTTAATACCTACCACATTATAAAGAAAATTATAGAACAAATTTATACTAAAAATAATTTCAAGTTTCTTTAGCATATAGTAACCGAATGTAACCACTTTGCGACCAGAAATTTCGAAAAAGACTTCCTGATAGAGAACATACTAATTATCGGAATATTTTGGCTGCTTTGACGTTATTGTACGGTTTATTTCACCTCTTCATTTGATTTGTAACGGTTGCCTTGTGTATCAGAATGATCAGAAAAGCAAAAGACACTTGACGAGGCATCCTATAAAATTTTGTCAAAAATCTATTAGTTGAAAAACGGTACAGAAGCGTACTTACAATCAATTTCGAAAAAAAAACGCCACTTCGGTATTGTTATTGCCGTCATCGTTATTTTCGTCGTCGCTGCTTTGGACGTACGCGTCGGCCGGGGAGAGCGGGATCTCGACGGTTGCCATGGTGTCCGCGTGGAGGCGCTGGTTACGCCGCCGCTTAGATAACTGCCTTTAGTGATAGTATCTCCAATTATTTAGTTAAAAAAGTTTTTATGCATATTGTGATGATAAGGATAATGAACTTTTATGATCATACATTACGTGTGTCTTTGATGTTCAGCACAGTTTCCTAAACGCTTAGTTTATAACACATAATGAGGGGAGGGATGGCGTCGCCAGCTTAGCTTAGGGGTTAGAGCACTGGTCTTGTAAACCAGGGGTCGGGAGTTCGATTCTCCCAGTTGGCTGATCTGTTTTATGCAACTTTATAAAAACGTACCGAATGGTAAATATAGACATGAATATCTTGCGACATTGTCTCTGCATTAATGTTACCTCGATAGTTAGTAGAATGTATGCTACTTTCACGTATTGGTTCAGATTTAATAAAGCAAAGTTTTCATATTCTTTGTCATCCTCTACAGGCGCGCAGCGCACCAAGGACGCTCAGGAAGTGCTGATGGCTCGTCAGCAGATCGTTCTATTGTGCAGGGCGTTTAAGGTCCAACCCATCGATATGGTCTACATTGATTACAAGGGTGCGTTGTCCTAACAAAAAGATTTCCTTTTGTATGTATTTTATGAACTGTTGCATTTAGATGCTATTTTTGAGACACTACTCTTTGCAATGTTATGTGTGCGTCGCATTGTATTGACTTCTGTAATGTAGATTCAGAAGGACTACGTAAGCAGGCCCTAGAAGGCGTAAAGTTAGGCTTCACGGGAAAACAAGTGATCCATCCATCGCAAGTGCCTATTGTTCAGGAGGCATTTTCTCCATCCAAGGAAAAAATTGAGTGGGCCAAAGACCTTATTAAGGAGTTCAAGCAGCACACTGAGACAGGAAAGGGAGTGTTCAATTTCAGGCAAGTCGCAAAACAAAAGCAAACAATTAGCAGCAGTAATTCTCAATGTGTTTTTTACTCTAAGGAAAATATTTTACTTAGTAATCAGTGTTACTTTTATGTGTAAAGTTTCAATAATGTAATGATAGTAAAGGCTAATGATCCACTGAGCCCTCGACCGGAATAGAGATATATATAATATAGTTGGGTTTGCAAAATTCAAACGAATAAAAGTGCAACTATTGTAATAAAACTTGCATATACTATAATATTTATCAATTCAAATTGGGTCGTAGTCATTGAAGTGTAGTCACTGATAAGTTTGTACAGGCTTTTTAATAGAAATCATCATTATTAACAGGCAAAAAGTGTGTAAAAATATCTTACAACAAAATGTTCACTTTCAGAGGGTCTATGATTGATATGCCAACAATACTTCAGGCGAAAAACATTCTTGAATTCGACTACGTAATCCGCGGCGAGGAGTTGCCTAAAAAATACAGAGTTGACCCGAACAACGATGACGTTGTAAAGGAATAGCGATAATAGAGATGAACATGTTTTACTGCTTGAGTAGTTATCACCCATTGTACAAACGGGTAGCTGCAGATGAAACAAAACACCAATCTATGTTCTAGTGTGCGCTGTAGATATTACTAATTCTCAACGAAGTGACTGAGGCAGACAACTTGCTGTACAATAGCACCAGCGACGGCAACCATTGCGTCAACAACAATAGTTCGTGTGGCAATTTATATATTATTAGAGGGGAGGTAAATGTGAATGATTTGAAAAAAGGTTTTACTGAATAAATATTCGTGTCGTTATGTCACTTGTTCGTGTATTAACTTTCTGCCATTTCAGAATTATATTGATAGAAAATGTAAAAAAGAGCTTCTGCGAAGAGCTTATTAACAGAATATATTGTAGCCTAAAAGGAGCATCGCTCATTTGTTCAAAGTGTTTACGTATGAATTTGTGCAATTCTTTACTCTATTTGATTTTAAATCCATGAAATTTTTGAGTGCCTAGCAGTAAGCTCTTCATCGCATTTCGTGGTTATTTGAATCAGTCTTCCCCTTACTCATAGAGAACCATCTATTTGAGGAAACAGAGAACTTCATGAAACGTTCATGATATAACTTCGACGATCTTTTCTTTGTTTTTGGAAACCTAAATATCGTTTTGCTAATGACCAGCGATAAGAAATTGACAACGCTCGATTATGAAGGAAAACTGGAGTTTAAAAATTACCGAGAAAATCACCACCATGAGATATCGAACTCCGCCTTCGTGCGTGTAACTCTGGTGTCCTAGCGACTAGACCACGCCACACTGCACGTTGCGTTGCCCTGTATCTCCAACAAACCGAGACAGTCGCTACTTTTCAATAAAATTATCTTTGCTGAAATCATTATCCTAATGAATACTGCATATGATTTCAGATAACAACTAGCTCCTGCGTTAAAACTGTCAGAAAAAACCCATGCTATAATGTATACTGAGTGAGCAGCATCAATTTCAACATGGCGGAGTTTCCTCGCTAGATGAGAGACGAGTTCAGCTGGCATGAGTTTGCTTTCACCTTACTGATTGTTAGTGTTGGGCCCAACCAGCCTAATTAATTATTTTTATGCGCATCTCATATAAACAGTTCATGGATAGAAATAGGTGTAATAAATATATACAAACAAACGTAATACTTGACGGTCCCTCTTAATAAGGACACTTAGTGAGTATTTGCAATACGAGACACTCCGCAGGTGTTATACTGCAATACCTATATTAAAACATAATCCTTTCTTACATATTACTCAGTTGTATTTTCGCAGATATGAATACACAATAAACACCAATTAAATAAGTAATAATTCAGATTTTCTTAGCTTTGTTGTATCTGCCTAAATCTCATCTTTGGTGTTTATAAGTTGTATTCTCCATTGTGTGCAGTGTGCGATTGAAAAAAAAGCACGTTTTCGAACTTAGAAAAAGAAAAACATGATAGCAGAACGTGGTTTCGATCCACGGACCTCTGGGTTATGGGCCCAGCACGCTTCCACTGCGCCACTCTGCTACACTGTTTTCGCCTATTTACATCTCTGATCTGTCAGGACAGCCAAGGGCAGGCGGCACTACGGGAATATTCGTTCTGTCGCTGTTGCTTAATACAAGTTCCAATCTCAATCTGCCTAAGCGTTGACGGTTAAATTTGCATATAGCCGTTTGGAGTATTCATTCGTTTGTGTATAGTCATGATGGAGTTTTCATACAAAAATTAAGAATATGTGCAGTTTTAGATTACTGCTCTTTTCACTTCTAAGTAACGTGAACGTCATGTCAACTTTTAGTAATTTTCGATTCGAACAGTAAGCCGCCGACAATTAAATGTTCCAGTAAGACATGTCATCCAATATAAATATTACAGCTTCTATCCGCAAGTAAAACTAAAAACTGAGAATCGTGTGTACTGCAAAGCGTATCAAAGGATACATTTTATTTTATAATTGTCATTAGCCGCCGAACGAGCGATAAAAACAGATCTACTACATCAAAGTACGCCAGCTGAGTCAAAAATAACTTCAGTGAAAGGTTTCTCCTTATGATCCAGCCTACTGAGACAAAGCTTTTTCTGTCGACAGTAAAATCACAGCATGGCCACGACTAAGTCGGGCAAATGCGGCTGCCATAATCGAAACTCTTCACAGTAGGCGTATGATATTTGACATTGCACACGGTTGGCTGTGTACTCGGCTGCCAGGCCCTCTGCGGCTTTCGAAATGGTTATGAAAGCTTTCAACACACTAACGAGAAATACATAAGAGAAAGCCTCGGTTGAAACAACTTAGCACCTTATTAGAAAAGCATAAATATTATTTTAGAAATTTGGCGCACTGCTTTTGGCTACGTTGTAAACAATGAAGGCGGACACTCCTGAGATAGCTTACGATGATTTTAGGCACAGGGCGTATATCATCAAAGTTAGACAAATTTTTTTGAGGATGCTAAAGTAAAGAAATTCGTAGACTATTATCTAACAACTACTATTCTGCTAATCTGCTACCTTCGATTTGTGCTCTACGAAAAAGTAAATACCATGGATAACGTGATAGAGCGTGGCACCACTTGATCGACGGCGCCATGGACACAAAAGTTGATCTGTTAGATCTGATTAATAAAATATCTTTGAGCAAAATAAAGAATTCTCTCATAAGATCTATTTGGTCCGAAACGCCTTCAGGTCAGTTACTTCAGGTAAGTTTCGTTTGAAGCAAAGGCTCCTCGTTGCAAATCGTAGACGCTTAGAATTTGTGGGAACGGCGCGATCGAGAAAGGCATACCCTAAGATATCTTCACGTACATACACCAAATCACCTAACTAAACTAAAATGACCGTTTATCAACTTAGAAAAAAGAATAAGTGGTTGTACGCAGTTTCCAGCGATAATTGAAGTGTCCGTCACCATTGATGCGCCTACCGCAATATTAAAAAGAAAACGACAATTGTCACTTTTTCATAAAACCCATGCTTGTCAAAAGTGATTTTGTATTTTTTACATTTAGTTGCTGGTACACTCTGTAGTGCATGACTGAGTGAACGAAAGGTCTAAAAATTAATTGCAAAAGACTAGTCAAAGAGATATTGTCGACGACGAATAAACCGCTGCTGTTACATATTTTTACCGGTCGATTTTGTTAAATTGTTTAGCTTTCGAATTTACCAGAGCGATTTCAAACGCTAACAAACAGTGTAGCCCTGTGCCTTTTACAACTAACTTAGGTTTAAAAGTTATTTCTCCATTTCCATTGACAACTAAATAGTTCATGATTTCCGTATACACGCAAGGAAATGTCAGTTGAGAATATTTACACGAATAATTTATGATATTTATCAGTTTGATTTACATCAGATGTGCGGGAGCTGTCAATACTAAGAGGCCTAAGAAAATATATTAAAGACGAACGTTTATAATTGGCTTCACTAGTAAAAATTTCTTTTTTTCTTGCGAATATCAGAGCAGACTGCAACGAAGTGACCCTCTATGACAAATTGCACCGCCGGTTACCTCAATATATACATTATTACGTTTACTTGGTATACTACCTGCAAGAAGGTTAAAGACAAACGTTTATTTTGTCATATATAGATAAAAGCTGAATATATACAGCCCAGTCCAATACAGCCTGATAATATTTACGCATTTATTGCGCTATTCAATAATTATGTTAAGTTTGCCGGCGGCTCCTATTAGCAGCCTGTCGTTGGAGTTGCTCCCTCTTTCTACGTGTTATGAGAATCTGAAGCTCGTTCCGCTGTTGATTTAAAGGTACGATTCTCTGCGCGCTTTTAACACGTTCTTCAATAGTTGCCATGATGTTTATGTCACACGGGATATGAACGTACCGCACGTTACGACCGCGGATATAAAAATAGGGAAACGTCCGCTGGAATCCATTAATTAGTGTGATAGTCGCGTCCACCATTTGTACGTTCATTCGGCTGCAAAGCGCCGAAAAAGGTTGGGTTAATAATATTCAGAGCATCCAGTTTTTGGAATTCGAAAAGTTTATCTCACTGGATGTGAGCAAATCTATTGTAACAACAGAATTATATGAGCTGACTTTATTTTTTATGCGTTTTAAGTATTTCATACATGGCACTTAAACCATCAATGACATGTAATTTACCATTGCACTTATTATGTCTTAATTGTAGCACGTATCTCAAAGAAAATTAAGTCAGTCGGTAAACGAGATTTGCTTGTACATAAACCATTGGTTATAGCTTATTGATTCTTAATGCAGAGTTTAACATATACAAATAAATGTTATGAAAATTGTTCGAAGCTAACATCTCTTAAATATCTGTTGCTAACAACGCCTACGGCCGGGTTGAGCAGCATTATACATTCTTTATTGAATTACACATTAAACACACATGAATAAACACGAAAAAAAAATTTACATAACATTCACTAAACTTTTCAACCCAAATTTACCATTGCTGGTTTTAGGTCCCTCATGTTATGAGATTAATAATCGTTAACCCAATAATGTTAACACAATAACTATCTAAACCTTCCAAAAATTCATTTCGACGAGGATGGGATTCGAACCCACGCGGGCAGAGCCCATTGGATTAGCAGTCCAACGCCTTAACCTCTCGGCCACCTCGTCACGACGCCTACTGGAGGACCAACTAAGCGCGCCATTGAATGTTCGTGAAACTTCAATTGGAAAATTTCAATCCAAATGATTTGAGCACTAACTCTAAAACGACACAATATGAAAATGGTTTATTCTGACGGTCTGTCTGTGGAGCATCTATTGGCAAGCTTTTAAAGTGAATTATGAACCCTATAGTTTCAACAGATGAATTCTTCTTAACTGATGTTTTCTTAGTTAACCTCAAAAAATACGACCGCTAAACAATGCGCCTGCTGCAAAAAAAAATATAATAGGAAGGGTAACGAAACAAATTTAATAAAATGAAGTGTTACTTTTCACAGCGAGTCCATACAAGGCAGCAGCAGAACACCATCTATGCCACACATCCCTATAAGGAATTCACCTCAACATGTGTTTCTTTCATTAAGGCTTTAACCAAGTCCTCACACCGCAAGTTAAAAGTTTGAGGAAAATGTGCAATATGACTCTATGGACTTTTGTGGAGTTCGGTGGACTTTTATTTGTTGTTGGAAATCAAAATGCGCGCCATGTATAAGAAAAGTGTGTGCCACTTACCCATCCACATCGCAAATCGTACCCTGAACCGTGATCTCATTTTGCAATTCCACCGTTGTTGCCCGGCCTTCCAAAGCCTGCACTAAGCATAAGAGCGTTTTGACAGCTGTCGCTTTATCTCTACCACTTCGTAGAGACATGTTGTCGTAGCCTCTGCTAAAGGATTGTTATTGGCAGTAGTTTTTAACCCTGCAACTTCACTATCTAGCTTCAAAGCAAGCCCGCTTTAAATACGTGTAATGTGGACGTCGCCATATTTGTTTCCGAGTCGTACTGTTGTATAGCCGTTGTTGTTACTGCTGTTGTTGTTGTTCTGTGGTGAAACGCTGTTGTTTTGGTGGCAGCAGAGGTAACAATCGACGGCATTCGAAACTCAATTGTTTTCATGAAAAGCGGGAGCCGGCGTCCCTTACTTAGTTGTCCATTAACTGGAGTAACGGGTGCTTTCTCTCAGTAGTTGTTATTGTAGTAAACTTACGCGGACTAATCCGCGAAAAATACGGCCGTTCAGTAAACGAGTATGGGGGGCTGATCCTGTAGAAAATCGCGTCTGCCGTATGTGGGGCCGCCGTCTATTATCTGTCGTGCGAAATTTTCTCGCTCATATAACAGTATTACAATTCGAGAATAACAGATTCAAAACAGAGATGTTAACTTGTTCAACTGAATACATAAATAGTATTTATTTGAACCTTTCATACGCAGAGTTAAGTGGAGGTACGTTTCTGCATTAACGACGTTATCAAAGCTCAGTTTCATTGTTCGCTTGTGATGTGCATTTCCGTTTCTGAAAACGGCTTCAACCGCGTGAACATACACATTCACGCGCGTATACGCTTATCTACTTGTTTGCTGTATATTTGCATTATATTGCTACTTCTGCCATCACAAATGGAATTGCAGTCAATTAGGACTGGTAAATTGTCAAGGATAGAATTAACAGTTAATATTGCGTTCGTTCATCTATGTCACTTTCGCTGGCAAGCCATATCGACCACCGCGGCTCTGGTGTTCAATCCAGTGAGTCTATCAACTGGAGAGGCGACAGTCAGCTGATCTATTGTTCCGCTGTTCGAAATCGTTTGCCTTCATGGTATAGTAAATATAGAGTACAATCGGTAGTCGGTGACGATGCTGGCGCAATGTACAATTCTTCAATAAGCTATTGGGATCGACAGTCACAAGTACATGGAGGAGATCAGTGAAGAATCAGTTCTGTCAACATCGTGACAAAGACTTAGGACATGATTTGTGCTTCGCTCGATTAGGAACTACTTCCCCATCTTTACAACAATTAAAAATGGTTGCAACTTTTTACATAGCGAGAATTCAGTGATATGACTGTGACGACGTCACTCAAGTGCCTACGAAATTTTTAAAAACACTCATTACGTAAGAAGAGTAGAAAACGACAACAGGCAGTGGTGCAACCCGCAGTGTAGAGGGACCCGTGACGTTAGCGAAGGGAGCGTCACGAAGCTAAGGTCTTTGTGATGGCCACAGGGTCAGAAATTACCCCTCTGTTCGAAGGGCCAAGTATGCCCTTATTTAACGATTCTAGTCGTAGAGAGCGCTATTTTCATTATACACTCGCCGGTGTCACATCAGGCCTCGTCTTTGTAAGTACTGACAACAAGTTTTGTTGCTTTTTATTTAAGTTTTGATAAAACAGAGATTACTGCAAAAAGCTTGTTATCTAATGAGCGAGTAAGCGTATGTACGATTGATTATTATCTGTATTCAAAATGGGCTCTCTTAACAACCCCATATAGATAAAATTTTGTTTAAAAACAATTTGTCGACTGCATTTGTGGGTAATTGGCAATAATGAAATAACGGAAGTGCGCTTGGCTTCTGGAGACGTTACTGAGAAAGACAGAACTAGAATATATATCTCGCATTATTTACTTGTTGTATTATTCACTTATATTAACAATAGGTAGTATATAAAAATCACGTTTTTCAATGCTTTTGCACGAGTGACTAAGTTATAATGGTCATAGTAATTAGCTGCATAATTGCTGTGCTTGCGAAACAAACATGGTAGGCAATTATTAACTTATTTTATGTTTCATAGCCAGGGCTATCAGGATTAACGGATATGACTGTTACAAATTTGGCGTTTTGCTTCTATATTATTTGAGATTGTAACTAGATGTCATGTTTTGCTTTTATCATTGTTTCCGTGGGAATAACAACTCAACAACAACGCATTGCTATGTTAGGTAATGGCTTTTATTCTGTAGTCGGATCGTATTCAAAAAGATTAGACAAAGTCCAAAAAAAATTGTGATTGTAACTTACGTCGTTTTCTAATTATAATCACTAACCCAGATTATATAGCATAACGGCAACATAAATATTCTCTATCTTCATACCAAGATCATCAAGGTACCTATTTGATCTATGACTAAGCATCGTTTGCTTTGAACAATAGAAAAAGGTAGACATCATGCAATCCTTTCTTAAAATAAACTACAAAAAAATCAACTAGCTATAGATAACCATAGTAAGTTATGTTTTATAAGTCATTCATGCAAGACACAAGAAAAATTCAAAATACATGAGCCGATACGAGCAGCGAGAATTCATTGCCGTTAACTGCATGTTGTCACCTTTCGAGCATGCACTTTACCAATGAACTCGAATCGTGTTGACGTCTTATTAAAAAATGGTATGTTGAACTTCACAAGTCAGAGTAGTGAGACACGAACCAACGAAAAATCAAACCACGGCCCCGTCGTTATATTTGTAACACACTAATCTCTATGTTTGACGAATTAGTTCCATATAAACGTCTAACAATAATTGAATCAACGTACAGTGTCAAAATTGCATACATGCATCGTCGTTACCGTAGGATCTGTCAGTATTTGTCAGATCTTACTAGTTCATACATAAGTTGAATCATATTCATGGTAATTTAAAAGCACCTTTCACGTTTCATTTTCATACATGGTGAATAATAAAATTATTCGTCTTACTTAAACGTTGTTTACATCTCCCGTACTACACACTGTTACATATTTATTGATTTTTGCTGATTTTTAAAAGTTCTTAGTGTAATGTAGTCATCAAAAATAGGTCCTATACAGCATACCCTAAAAAGACGTTCTAAACAACAGTGAGCATGTTTTACGTAGTTGCTACCCAAAAATACAATATGCGCATAATATTTGTTACTCAATTTCATGCAGCTCTGACATTTAATATATTCGATGTAGGTTATTATCTTTCTTTCAAATCTTTTTATCATACTCGTCCTACTGGCTATAATAGATACCTTGATTGCTTTCTGTTTTCATGCTTATGCTGCCGATAAACCCCACTGGTAATTCGAGGAGTGCTATTTTATTTTCTTAGTGTTGTCGTTGACTTGTATCGTTGAATGTTATAATTAAGCTGATTTAGCAATGCAAAACCCTATAATCAAATTTACGTATCTTGTGTTACGTACGAAAATTACGTATAATGTGAGGCTAACCTTTTGTCATGATATTACAGTAAACTAACAAAATAGGTTTGTCCTGCTACCTCCAGTCGCCTCGAATAGGCACAGACTAGCCTGAAAATACCGAGATGATCATTCTTATTGCAATGACTTCTGTGGTAAAACGAAAAGTTATAAATATTCCACCCAGTATATACTTTACTCAATATAGCTTCTTCCGACAAAACTGTAAAAATAATTGTTAACAGCGGATACTGGCAATATTTTCCTTATCATCTTATGTTGCAGTGTTGATAAAACTTCTCGGGTACACTTTGTCGAGGCCAGGCGTATAAACCGTAATTAATCAGCCTCCCGTGAGAATCCGAACAAGCCATGAAAAGCCTCGCAGAACTGTTATCCTATAATGAACGAAGTGAATTATTAAGGATTACAGTTTTAAGATTAGGATTTAGTTTAGGCAATGTGAAGCGGTAACAGACATTCGTGTAAAGCTTACTATTGATTCTCAATACGCTGATCACTCAAGTATTGGACTATCACTCATATAATATCAGAAGAAAGCGCGTGTTTGTCAAGTTACTCAAGCAATCTACGGAACACGACATTTATTTCTGTTTGAAATCTCTCGTATTTATTATCTTTAAAACGTAAAGCTAGTGTCGCAAGCTCTAAGACTCTACATATTGCCTTCATAACTAGTAACATGATTCTGTTACTGATCTCCGCTGCATTTTAGATGCATTCAATTATTGGAGAGGATCATTATTATCTCCCATTCAATCATAGTCGAACCGCGAAATTTGTTTCATGCACAATTCGTAGATAGGTTTTCCCCAATTATACGAATGTATTTAACAAAACGCACATTTGCGGTTTCTCAAAGCTGTTTAACTGCTGCAGAGTTGTAAAGCTTCGAAATATGATCCCACTTTAAATACAACACGAACCATTCCATGCGACGTCCACTTTTGGTACGGGTTTTCGATCAAATTTGTTTTCATTCGATCAGCGGAAGATCCATCGAACGAATTTTAAAATGTTCAAAGAAGCTGTTTTACTAATAGATCGGTGTAAATACTTTCTTGCCCCTGTGAATTTGACAAATAACAGCTTCATGCAGAAAAACGAAACTTTCACAACAGCTAATCGTTCCATATTTAAATATACGCCAAAGCAAATTATATTATTTTTCTGTTGTTTCGGTATTTGCTTTCAGGTAACACTGTGTTTGGCATTCTTCTACAACATTCCTCCTGATGGTCGTCATGTATATTTCTCATTCGTGCTTATTTTTATGTGCTTTTCGCATTGCATACTGGTACGCCTCCGAATGGTACTTACGATAATGTAGTGTATTTTCGGAGACATTATACGACGTCGTGCCGTTTTATTTAAACTTGTTATCTTCTACCAAAGCAATAATTTTCTCCAAAAATTTATTACAATAGACTGGTACTACACGATATCAGATTATTGTAAAGCAGTGTGATATAAATCTAAATGATCTCATTGACATAAGAACAAGATTCAGTAGGAATATACCTCTATACTAGGCTATACTTCTGCTCTACTCAAAAACGTGAAAGACTTGTTATCTCGACAGTTGTTTAACGGGTTGAAATTAAGAAATCAGAACCAGTTTTAAGTTGTGTAGTTTGTATCGTTGCTTTTTCTATTTTAGATCCATTGGTACCGTCAGGGTGACGTAGACCCCAAATTCCGAACGTACATCTATGGCAACACGGCTGTGATTATCCTCTTGTGCATATCTGGCATCTCCTACTCTACCCAACAGCCCTCGAACCTGATCAAGACTTTATCTTCTTGACGGTGGCCTGGGTATAACTAATGCAGTTACAGAGATAGCTGTCCAATCTATGTCAATCTGTGCTACCCAAGCCAAAATGAGAACATCGAGGGTAGAACATTCGCCGATTTTGTTTTGGGTCCTTTAGCCGCAGCGCATGTTCGTCTTTATCGATCAGTCTCAACGGCCAAGTTTCGGCAGTGTATTGATTCAAAGAGAAAGCAAAAACGCTTGTTAAACATATATCGGTAATAGAAAGAATGATATTTTGGTTTCGAAGACGTTGTTTTTGATTTGCGGCATTTCACGTTTCATTATAGGATCGTAAAACTTGTTGAGATTCCGGCGAAAACTCGTTCCAAAGTTCTAAAAAATTTCTTTAATCTATAAACGACGAATAGATGCTTAGATATCGTAAAATCTTTTTATCCGCGAGCTTCAAGCTGTGTTCGCCCAGTCATTGTAACGATATGAACCTTGCTTTCAAGTTCCGCAGGCTACAACTGTATACGTCGAGGTGCGATGATGAAAATCACACAAGCTACCAATACAGTAGCTATTGATAGAGTATCAATATATACATTACTGTTTACAGCTTATGATAATGTGTATTCTGAAGGCATATACGTACTATGCCTTGATAAAATCGAGTAAGATTTATATATATAGAAGGGAGTGAGTAGCTACAAATTTTCTTACTGCGCATATTTGCAGTTTGCAGACGAGTTAAAAAACGTACAAACAGTTATTAGTACCACTATTCTATACCGCAGTTATTATTTTTATCAGACACTGAGCACAACGGAGTGAAATGCGTAGATGATAATTAATTTTTTAACTTTAATAATAAACAAAGCACACAGGTTAGCCGGCCACCTGCACCTGTGAATTCTGACCAAAACCTGCACATAAGTGTACCCCATTCCTGTACAAAATTCTATTTTACCGTTTAACTTAACCGATTTAAGCGACTAATTTGTTTATGTTTTTGTAAAGTTTAATATAAAAAGTAAGAAAAGAGGGTTTTTGCTGAATATAATCAAAAAGTAATGCATAAACTTTTATCAATAGAAGTCAAGAAATAATAGTGATTAATATTTGTCTTCATTTTTTGGCAATATTGTTTTATATTTAATTAAAAACTGGTCATCACTTCAAAAATAATTTGAGCATAGTCTACTTAGGGAAAGATCGTATTATTTTATAGTGAATATTGCTTGCATTAGGTGTTACTCGGCAAATGTGATTTCAGTAGTCGTAGTTTTTCCTTCTACTTATAGTGATGGTAGTAACACTCGCAGTCCTCTGCAATAATGTTTGCAGTTATAGTTGATTATGGTTTTAGTCTACGAAATAACCGAAATCAAGAACCATATCTTAAGCCAAATCCTTCATACTTAGCGAAGGATATCGATAAATCGGGATGGTTTGATTAGTAGTATGAACTTACTAAAGCTGCCGCTTTGTAAACAAACAAAAAAAAGTACATGTGTATCCGTTATAAAAGATCAGCCACTGGGTAAGATTTTGAAATCTAAATTTGGTAAGTTACTCGGATTCCACGTCCGGTACTACCAATAGACATTTCTTTAGACGGCTAGCGGCCCTTCTTAGCACAAAACAAAGTGCATTAACGCTCAACGTAAAGTTTGGACCACCTCGCGTGTCCCTAAGTAGGCAAAATTAAGCTAGCATGGAGAAAAGGTAGAACTTAGTAGTGGAATTTGTAAGCCACCTTGGAGCTAAAACATTACTTGTATAAATAGTCTACTTATCGAACACAGCGTCTCGTTAGTAGAAGTTTGTTACTATCCTACCTATTTTTAAAATTAAGAAAGCAGGCTTTTCGGGGGCTCAAAATTCTTTTAACCTATAACTTCACAAGAAGTAATAGCACTTGTGGCACGGTCAAGACCCAATTAAAATATTGTGTACTGGATACTTCACTTTTTGCTGTTTAGGAATAGCGCATATAAAACTACCTAAAACATTATCCATATCGTAGTCAGAATGCTGAAAAGAGTGTAAATCCTATACGCAAGAAAGTGCAACAACACGATAGAATTGTCAGTATTCAGTAGTAAGACAAAATGACCTGTTAAGCGTGCTTTATTATGTCTCTCTTGAAGTAAATTGAATACATTATTATTTATAGCCACTTATAATAGATGAGATTTGTTAACTGTTTGCATGTATCAATGGAAAAATGACTTGATAAAACGTAGTAACACTATAATAATGGAAGGTAATGATTATGATACACCGTGTCCTCTTCATCTTGGCACCACGCAACGTTCCTTTGAACAACCTTGTACATAGGGGTATCAGGCGGACATTCATCATAAACAAATTTTGCTAAAGATAAATAACCTAGTTGGTATCAGGAATATTTATGGCGTCAGTTATCTTCCGTAAGCCAAACAAAAACACACCGGTGTGTTCTCAACATAGATCAGGTAACTATACAAATCCAAACCATATTAAGAATAAGTCTGAATTACTGTTCTAACGGACATGGCGAGTATGTAAGTAATTGCCATATCCATATAGACGATTGATCCAAGATTTACCATGCGCCAGGATGGGTGTTGGCAAGCCGTCGCATTCGCCGAGTATTTCTGTCCTGGTCGCGAATCTTCTTCTCCATCTCCTGGTCAGTTAGCGTCTCCAGGAATGGACACCACTGTTCAGCCTCACTTTGAGCTCTGAAGGGCATCTCGAGCTGCGCCAACGGGGCTTCGGAGAAGGCATACGTTCGTTGATGCCAAGCCAATTGGCCGCGGATAGAATAAGCGATAGCTGTCACAAATTCACCGCCCAATCCGAGATCGGAACAAAGCTTGGTAGCGAACTCTTCAGGCGAGTTCGCTCGTTCACTCATGTCCCACTCGAACTGATCAACAAGAGAGATGTTGCCGACGTGTATGTTGAGCTTGATAAGAACCCTCTGATCTGTTTGTTCGTCAAGTAGGCTTGGCTCGCTAGGAAATGCTTCGATTTGCTGCCGCATCGATGCAGCAATCTGGGGAACGAAGAGAAGTGGCGGAAGATCGAGGTCATCACAAAGAAGTTCGGCAAATTGTTCCGGAGAGATGTGCGCTTCGTGACGGTTCCACGTAAACGTGTCGCGGAGTTTGCTACCTTCAATCTCCATGTCTAGACGGATTGGTACCAGGCACTCAGGGAGAGCGGCACTCTCGTGCAGCATAGCCGGGTCAAGATCGTCGTAACTACAACAGCCGAAACATCCACGCTATTCATAAGTTGATTTAATGACGCCCCATTATCTCAGTTACATATGTAGAAGATATATAGCATTTTTTCTTTGATCTATAGTATTTCTAAACGTGTGTAGGTACATTTGCATGTTTATTAGTGTAACCAAAAATGTTGCTCCGCATTATCTTGGGTATAGTACTAAATAAGATTTAGGCGTGGCCAATTTTTACCGTCACTATGTTAATGAACTTTGTTCATTAACAAACTTTGTAACAAATTGTTGAACACATATACTGTTTTTTTCTGTTTCTAGCTAAACAAGGACTTATGTGTGTTGTCGCTACGCGAACTGAATGATAAATGTGTGTATTATTCAGTCCGAAAAAGGACTTTCGGACGATTCGGGATTATTAGTTCCTACAACACTTACAGCATGGGAAAGCTTTTGTTCTTCTTTGAATGTTGCAAACGGTTCCGGTTGATCGGCGTTGAACATGGCACAGCGTCAAGGTGATGTGCGTTATTCGGGGCAGCCGGCATAAATGATGGCCGAGCCTTTGCATTCTTAGCACTAAAATGCGCACCAAAAAATTAAGTTTTCTCGTTTGAAATACAGTGAGCCAATATTTTTCTATAATTGTACGTAAGACTTAAAGAATAGACGCAAAATCATTTTCAAGAACATGAGTGCACGTGTGAAACTTCCACTGACTGATGCTATTAAAAGTCAGTAGTTAATGCCAGCTGTCATCACACGAATCTTATGGGAATACACGCGTGCTACACTTGCTTTGTAAAGTCGAACTAATAAAGTAACGGGTTCTACTAAACCACCGTCTACTGGCTTAACATTTTGATTAAATTCACTGTCAACATACGTCTTAAATATGAGATGTTCGAAAACATATTCCATTGTTTCCAGGTTTAAGTAAGCATTTTTATCTTTCCTTTGTTTTATCCAGTAAACGCTACTTGCCAATAAAGCTCGCACTACACAGCTTACATGTGAAACCGCACCTCAAAATCAATCGTCAATTTCGATGTGATCACGCCACTGCTAATCGCCCCCGATGAAAGCAAATAGTGAGCGTGCACAAGAGAAGTATACGCTTAGAGGTTTTCCTTATCAGTTCGGTCTACCGGCCAGTGAATAACCTTGAAAGTCAAACACTTATCCTGGAGCTCATGAAATAGATAAATAATAATTGAATTGCCGTAATCGCGGCGCTAAATGTCACTGAGAACGATGCGGCCTAAAAGAAAGTGGGTGCGTCACGACAGTATAGAACACAACAGCAAATCTATCTGTGCCGTTCTCGCAACCGCTAGTGATAATAGCAACGGCACTGCCAATAGCAAATAACAGATCAAGAGACAACGGCGACATTTCCCGCTCGAATATAATCTTCGTTCTTCAAAGATATAATTTACTATCATCACATAAAAGTAAAAACATACGAACAACTCAAACCGGACTTCATCATTATTCCTATTTATTGCAAATAAAGAAGATGGCAAAACCGTACCTCCTACACACTAGATAGAGAGAAGCACGATTAAAAAAAATAAGCACCACTTTAGAAACCTTACCCATGGCCTCCGCCTTCGAAATTATTTTCCTGAACAGGAGCAGCGCGATATTTCTCTTCATTTCCATCTATTAAATCATCAACTTCAGACTTTTTCAGCAGTGAAATGAAATTAGCGGCTGAGTGCTGACTCATATTTTCTGCGAAATAACACAGCGTCCCGCATTAGTATTCACATATGTGCACCAGCAGTCTCTGCTACCACTGCACATTTACCTTTGCGTGCCAAATATAATTAAAAAAATGATTACACAAGGCAGGCTTAGTACACATTTTTTTTCAATTAAAGCAGTTCTTATCACTCTAACTGCTCTATTACTTCTTCTTAAATTGTTAAATACTTGTCTGCGGGTGTCACAAGATTAATAAACGCTTAAACTAATGGAGCGGCTATGCTACATACAGAACGGCAAAACATCATCGAATGTTAGCAAGCGTGTTTGCACATGGACAGGCCGGTTTTATCAAAAGGAAAGATAACTACTAGAACAAATATCTGTTGCTTAGTGAAATCGTCGTTGTCGAATTCTGAAATTATTACTTGTTTATTTGAATGTGAAGATACCATGACAGATTCAAAGTTATCTTTCGATGATTACGATGAAAAATTTATGCGCAAACAGATTTTTAAGCCGAACAAATAGACGGTTGTTCGTAAAGATTAGCAAAGCATACATTAATGGCTAACACGAAATTGGTAATAATAGAAACTGAATCGACACGCTGCTTTCAGTGATACAAAAATCCATCTGTGAAACCACGTTTGATTTCTATACCTCATCCGAAAACAAATTCAACTTCACTCTCTAGGTACTAGGCAGTACGTTCATCCGACGACGCAGCTGCTTGCAATTGCACAAGTAAACAAAATCAAAAATATTACTAGTGGACAAACAGTTAATCAACGCGCAATAATACATACCCATTTGAGAGATTTTCTTCCGTTCGTCGACGGTCACTGCACGACGCCATAGTGACGGATACTTTTTGTACAATGTTCCCCTGAAAAGTCGTAAATAATTGCCCACCTGTAAAAATGAAACCGAAGATGATATATGATTATGTTAATCATGTCATAATAAATATCCCATAACCTGTAGAAAAGAAACTATAATACCCGACATAATCAATTACAAAACATTATAAAATTATTAAACTAGAAATTATAAAACATTCCTATCGGTCTACTGTCTTGCATCGCAAATGTATTACAAATCTTCAGCTAATCCTGCTTTAAGATATCCATTCCGTGAAGGATGTACCTTCCACTACTTTTACACGTCTCATCGTCTGTGCAACCTTCAGATAGAGCCACTGAGGGGTCTTATTGAACGTTTTAATTCCGCTTTTAAACCTGCTATCATCGAGCAGCAAGCCTTTTCGATCATTTTGCAAGAAGAATATCTTGCAAAATTGCCACTTCAAATATTAGTGCAGTCTAATCAAAAATCATACTCACTTCAGTGCCTATGTAATAATAGTCTCCGCCATCTTCTAGCTGAAAGGAGACAGGACGGTCTCCGAACGTCCTCATCACTGCAGTTTTCTCGAACGTGACTCGCCGACGAACCAAAAATCTTTACGAAACCTTTGCAAACACAATAAAGTTGTTTACCACTATTTCCAAGCAACAACCGGCCGCGAGCGTCTCGAATATGTAAATAATGGCGCCCGGAGCGCTAAAGCCAACAGCCAGCAGAAAGTGCTCTCTAATTTGAAATTTGGCGCGCCCGTTTTGAAGCTCGTACGTAATATGTACGACAAACTTATTTCATCCCAAAAGGGATCTACTTCTGTATTCAACTACTTTATCACAGATTATTGGGCGTTATCACGAAAATCTGAGGATTTATAGACACGACCATTGTCACAGCCAGTGCTTCTTGAGACGCACATTCATGTACCGTAGCGTTTATTATGGATAAGCTAAGAGGAATAGCGGTTTTATCTATTGATACCCGTACACTTACAAAAAGAAATTACTTTAAAGCCTTCTGACATACATGCGTTCACGTATCAATTAGAAATTTCTTAAAATTACACAATAATTGTTCCTAAAAAACTAGGGCTAACTATAAAAAACTTCCGACACCGGGAATCGAACCCGGGCCTCGCGGGTGAGAGCCGCGTATCCTAACCACTAGACCATGCCGGATTGTTCATTCACCTGCGTTGCACTAGCAAGTCGATTACGATGTTCAGTACTCACAGGTTTGCAGCTTCATACCGAACATTTTGTACAGCATGCAAAACAGCACAAACGTAATTACAACGGATAAACGTAGCCAATTTAAGTAAGATAAATTAATTTGATAGATAAAAGAGATACATGCATACAAAAAAAGGTTTTCAAGCGATTAATTGAGTCCATGCAATTGCCACAATCGATTTAACATGAAATAAATCTGCTTATACAGTCCCTGAGCAATGCTTGGCATAGATTTCTTTTCCTTAAAAAAATAGACTTTATCAAATTTGACTGGACAACCGTGGGGTGTATTATAAATTAGAAAGATACACCGTTATTCATATACCTTACTTACGGGCTCATTTCGCAAACAGAAGATTTAATTTCGACACGAAGTCACATAAGGAGCTTTTTATTTGTATTATTCGTATTATAGTATTTTAGTTGTAGCTATTTTTGTTTATTTGCCACAAATTTATCTAAACGGTGTAGGTGTAAATCAAATAGTTCCCTTATCATATTCGGACCGTAATCGATCCGTCTAAAATGCACTGCGTACAACATCTCAGTGGTGGGAGCACTATTCTGAGAGAACTGTGAACTAATAAAGATTAGATCGTTTACAATGCACATTCCCAAGCGCGAAAACAGGGTAGTCTCAATGATGCCTTTAATCTGTGATCGCAGTCAGTAACAAAAAATTAATGCGCGAATGAAAGGCACAGTAAAAGTCGGACAAAAGTACTGAATGAATTAAGAGTATGGCGCAGTGTATTCAACACAATCAAGAAATACTCAACTGCTTGTTTGCTCAAGACGGCTTAGGTAGACACGCCGGAATAAAATACGTAGCATGAGTTAATTTAATGAAAAAAAAACCGATATATTTTTAAAGGAAAGCTTTCTCTAGACGCTTAAAATTGAAATGCGGATCTTGTTACCTTTCCAAAATCCAGACCGATCCAGGAATAGCCATAAAATGACCATTAAAGTCCGAGCATTTATCCACGTACATAAACAACAATAAACAACTGCAATAACTGTACACGTTCATGCCTATATATATAAAATTAGACGCAAAGACATTTTCAAGTATCTCAAATATCAAATAAAGTATTCAAGGAGTCCTCTGAAACGAAAACTTGAGCCTAATTAACACGTTGTTGCGTAACATGTTGGAAGGAAGTAAAAATATTCATCTTAAGCTATGATAATGTACATGGTTATAAAAAAAAAAAGGTCGATTTCATTCACGAGTTTTTTTTGTTGCTTTGTAGATATGGTGGTTAACAAACGATTTAATAAAGGAACTTCCTAAATGATTGTCTTAATTTAGATGTATTGTATCAGTTATGTCCATGTCTGCATGAGAAAAATGTAGAGATAAAATTGTAAGACTTTTTCGGTTCTCATTGTGCGATTTATTTTACGTACAAAATAAATTATCACAACAGATCCCGTCCACTCTATTGCAATATCCGTAACATACCAACTGCTTTAATTCTGTCACAAGTGGTAGATGTAACACTTGTACTTTCGCTATGACAAATATGAATATTCGGTTTTCTCAAAGGAGTATTGTAGCGCGAATGCTTTTGTCAGTCGTCATCACCTGGTGTCGATGGTAGTCGTTACCTTATTAAAAAAAAACCTTTGTATTTAGTACTGTACACATTTAAAGTTTACATATTCAACCGACCATAGCCGGTAAAGGGAGTCCTTCAATAAAACAATATTAAACTGTTCCCTTGACGATGAAGGCTGCCTTAATGGGCTAATTTTGGTCCAGAGTGGGCACGGGTAGTCTTCCGAAATGTGCTAATCCGGCTTCGACAAAGTCCTGGCGTAGGTTATGAACAGGATCAGTGATTTCCACCTAAAATAAAAATGTGTTTCTTGACTAACACTACTTCTAGATATATGAATCAAAGAAAGACGTCAACCCGTACATGCGGAATCTTAGATGTAAAAATATATCAATATTATAACTACTATTGAAAATCGAGCTAATATTCTAAGAAATTCTAAAAAACAATTCCATGTTTATCAAGGCATAATGTGACACGTAATAAAATTTAAAAGAACTAAGCAGCCTAACTAAAGGAAAAATAAAGATTTGTTCGCAATTGAATTGTAATAACAAATGATAATTATAATAAAGTTGAAGTGAATACTAACTAGATTTTGGTGGCTTCCAATAAGAGTAATTGAAGGTTCTGGCAAAAAGGTGAAATGTTGCGCAATGCTTAAACCACTCAATGCATAACAGGTATGGTAGTAGTCTGCCGGTTTACCTATAAATAAAAACGCAGTTAAAGAAACACTGGGATCTTTAACAAATATAGAGATGGATGAAGCAGGTGTAAATGAGTCAGTTCTTCGCCAATTTTGCATTTCTATTGATCACGATTTCGAGAGTGTTTCTCCAACATCATTTGCCCTGATCATAAGGACTCGATGCGAAGTTTACGATTATTTTAATTTTAGATTATTTTAATTTTTATTAGAAGTCAGTTTTATGAGGAGACAGTTACATTGTCCCTCGGACCTGGTTTATCGATAAGTCCTCCGTTTGGTGCCTGGCAGCAGGCTAGAATGTATTCTTGAAGAGCCCGCTGATTAAAGAGCCACTTGTCAACAGGAAGGGCGTCCACATACTTTTCTGAAATTGGAAGAGATTTTCAATCGATAGATTATTCCATTGAAAAACGTAGATATTAACACAGTTGGCGACAAAAAATAAAACAGAACTGTAGGAGTTATTTCAGACAGAAATGGACCCACAGAAGTAGCTATCAAAACTACATATACCTAAAGCCGTTTCCTGTATTTTTAAGTACGTACCGTTAAGTGATAATGCGCGATAAACTATTGGTATCGCTCCAGCTTGCCAGAACGAATAGCAGGTATCAACAAGTTTATTTGTACGACCATTAAAGCCACCTTCGAAGGGACATTGTCGCATTATAAGCCAGTTGAGCAACTTTGGCAGGTCACAGCGAGTGACTGCCTCCAAAATCGCTAACGCTGCGATGCTACAAAAAGTATAACCACCATGTGCTTCGAGTCCTGGTAGACCACCGAATCCTGTAAATTCACCCATTTCGAAAGCATAAATTAATAAATAATAACTGCTTAGGGAAGTTGTGCACTGAAGTCATCTGCAAAGGAAACAATAATAAAAACACATTTTAACAATAAAATAAGACTAACAGAAATGTTTACATATGTAACACTTTGCGCCGCTTAGAAATATCTTCGACTTCCATATATATATATATATGGAATAGTTATATATATAACTATCACATCCTACTGCAACAACAATTAACACTGTAGTGTCGGAGAGTATGTTTTTAATACCGGCATGTTATTCAAGGAAGCTTTTAGACCCCCAAAGATAATTTAATGTTCAATAATTATGATGCGATTTGTCATGACTATTTTCGAGTTTAAGAACTCTTCTTTTCTTTATGTTCTTTCTTTTATTCTTAAATTAGTAAGTAATAACTGACCAAGGTACATATGACCAGTTCTCGTTCAAAGTTATTTAAATTATATCAAATAGTGAGTTAAATATTTTTCTGTAATCGATAATATGACCAAGAATATATTGGAAAAATGCATCCCAAACGTCGCCTAAAATGATAGCAGGCATACCGTAATGATACAGTTTTTCGTGCAAAAGGGCTTAAATCCGTTTCAATACATGCTGCATACATGAAATACATGAAAAATTAAGAGTTGTAAAACTTAGCCTTGCACAGAAGCCACTTTACCATTTCAAAAATATTTTCGGAGCAAAACTTAATGATTAGTTACTCTAGTTAGTCTAGAGGAAAGAGCTTCAGAGCAAAATTTAGTTGACCCGATGTATTAGTAGCGAAATATTTATGAGAAGATCGCGAGTTCTCTTTACTACACTGTACCTATATACTAATGAATAGGGTTCTTCTCAAAAATGTGATTTTTAGTCACACATTTAAATCAGAATCATAGTGGAATATACATTTTTTAGGATATAAGCCTATTATATTGCCCGAATAAATCGTACCTCCTTCATATGACTGGCACTCAAGGACGAACTCAGCAGATTTATTGGTGAGCTCTTCGCACAACAGGTTCGTGAGTCGAGCTACGGCAAGCGCGCAATACGTTCCCCGTACGTCGACTTCTCCACCTTCGTGCATTATGAATGACCCATCACTTTGGTGTAGTCGCACTAGAAACGGCAGCAGTTTCTCGCGGTCAATACTATCATATGCCTCACGAGTGCCCAACGATATCAAACAGTTTACAGCGCCGTACGTTGCTGCAAGATGAGCTATTTGTCTGGGCCCTCCGCCGTAACCTCCTTGCGGATGCTTGCACTGGTTGAGGTAACGCACAAATGCCGATTTAGTCGAATCTGCAAGGGTTATCCCTAAAAGGTTCATCGCATGAACGGTCCAGTAACAGAGCCATGGACCGCTGGCGTCTAAGTTCTGAAAGATCAGAAACACACGTTAGTTTTATAGGAAAGAATCAGATAGTTACATGCGTTCTTTGAAAGCTACAAAGGAATTGATAAGTTCGTACCGACTTTTTCATCTACTGCTTCCAGATTAAGATACTTGGTAACGTCCAGGAGCATTTTTTTAATTTCAGATTATATTAAATTATAGAAAGAGCTCTGAAAAGCGTTACGCTAAAGTATTAAAATACCTATCTTTGAAAAAATATTAAATTCTTAGCACTATATTGTAGATTCAAATGCACATATCTTATGGAGATTTTACAGGGACCAACTGGGAGTGATTATGCTATTTTTCTCAGAGGGAAACAACTGAGCAGTGTCACCAATGTTTACATATATCAATCGGATAAATTCGGCAAAATTATTACCTGGTACGATGGTGGAAAGCCATCAAGGATGGCCCGGGTTATGAAACGAGTATGCTTATTCCTCAGGAGATGCGGCAGGGGTTCGGTAGGGTGTCGATTACGGTGGCGAAGTAGAAGTTCATTGACAACGTTTGCAACAAGCTGTTCTACTTCGAGTTGCTCCCGAGATGTCGCGGTCTCAAAACGTTGGTCGTCCGTCCCAGTCTAATCAGTTCAAGTACAACACAGAATAAACAATTCACATACGTTACAATATAACGCTCTATCACTTCCATCAGCTCCAATTCAAATAAATCTTATTGTGAATCATAGCTGAAGCTGGTAACGCTGAAACAGTCTTATTCTTCAGATATTTAATCTTTTACATTAATACAGTGAAATTGTAAAGTAGGAATCGTTACTTTTAAAAATTACAGTCATGTAGAAGACACTTTATAAGAAAGCGTTTAGCACAACGTAACAAGTGCATGTTGGTTTCTAACAAAAATTTATATTAAGCAACGAAGTGAGAAAATTGATAGAAAGGACTAGTGCATTTTTTTTTGCTAATTGCCTAATTATTACCTCTATGCCGCCCCCAATATATAAATGATTAACTAAAAGTAAATCCTTATTCTCTATCAAACATCTTTAACTTGAGCAAGGGATAAACGCTTTTTAAAAAAAACAGTGATTATCATGTATGTAACTAGCAAGGACGCAGGCTAAACAATTCTCATATTGTTTCCACAGATGTTGCGTCACTTAGTTCTAAGGAACACAGCAGAAGGCAGTAAACGTCAAAACACGTTTTTCGAAACGAAGTCATACTGCAAATTATTTTGAAGTTGGGCTCAGCGCTGCAAGAGGTCGTGTTTGTTGCGTGTTGACTAGCATCATAATCACCATGGTTAGCCGAGCTTATTTTTCAGCAGCAACGTTAATTGTGCCACCCACCTCACCCGTGTAGAATTCAGAATCACTTCCCCGCCGGCAGTAGCCTTGTCCGGCAATATTTGTTATAGGCATGCTTCTGAATTTTGTTGAAATTCACCACTTAGAGCAAGTGCGTACTTGTAACCGCTACTGTTGACTACTATGCTCGAACCCTGTTGATTACACAAGTACACTTAATCGGCGCTACTTCACTTTCTTCAAATAACAGAGACACACGAAAACTAACAAACTTAATCTGTTGCTTTGGTGTGCCGGCTAAGTGCATTCAGGAACGCGTCCCTTAGGACACTTTGTCCACTCGTTAGGATGTGACCTTCCTGGAGTGAACGACGGTTTATTAATATCGCAGCGCTGACAAACAAAACCGAAGTCATCCGTCGAGGAAACAATTGTGACCAAACGGTAAACGGTAGCTCGGCAGAATGAAAGCGGTACCATTAGACATCGCATTCAATAACAAAAACAGTTGAGATAGCGCTCTCCCTCCCTATTTTTCAGAATATATCGTTATGGTCAGCTATCGCTATGTATCGCCCTTTCCACTATATCATCACACACGTTTTTCATCACACACAGACAGCTTTTATTTTGAGCACTGCGATCGACTGCTCCAGACATTGCGCTATATTTATGTAGCAGACGTTATGCGAACGTATTCCAACTTGATCGTTCTAGCCTCTGTTAAGACCTGTTCGGATTATGATGAATTTATTATTCGCCTAAGGCTTGCAGTAATATGCCTTACATGCTGTGGTACACAATAAACATGACAGTTCTCCAGCGAGCAGAACCTTCTCCTGATCAGCTTCGCTGACCCGCACGGCTAATCATTGAAAATCATCTGTTCGACTGCTGCTGCCGCTGTTGCAGCTGATACAATTAATATTAACATTTGCGCCCATTTAAGCTTTGTACAACGGGGCATAGTTAAGTGATTATCTGTCGAGTTGATTAAGGCCACATATAGAACACTACCTGTGTCAGTGTCACATGTTAGTAGTATATTAGGCTTCGTGAATAATAAACAGTGGAGTGTTGTTTATTTTAACTTTTTTTTTTGTTGATGAGCATTTGCTATTTGTAAAAGGTTTCTTGAGTTCTCCATGCACTACTTGGTCTGACAGCAAAAATAGGTCTACAAGTGAAGCTGAGAAGACGACATTTTTTATTAACACCCTTCAGCTCCAGACATGTATATTTTGCTAACTAAGTATAGAGAAGTTTTCGATAAAGCATGAGATATTGGTTCACCATAGGCACGATCATTCATGTGAATTTTGCCTCCCTCAAAGTAGGTTTCAGTTGTGATAGAAGACATTTTCCGATAAATTAGCTGAAATTTACACAGGTATTCTTTGCTGTGGGTATGAGCGAACTCCGCAAATTCCGTTTTATTGTTTGAAGCAATTTAACAGTGTTCATTCAACCTCGGGAGAGAATATTAATCGGAACGAGGCACGTATTTCGGATATTGTTCGCACTACTCATATTCTCTTTCCAGTTGATTCTCCGTAGGCCTAACCTAGGTAAGCACAGGTAACGTCCAAGGTAAATTACAAGCAAAAAATAGTCTGGCTAAAAGTAAAAACATTTTTAAAAGATTAAACGACAAATCGAGCCAAACTCTATATGACTGACAGTAAACTAAAAATCGTTGTATTAAAAGGGACAGTTACATTTAGATTAAACATTTTAAGACAGTTTTATAAATGAACTATTCCTGGCTAGAATATTGCTTTACCATTTAACTAGCTTCGCTCTAACTATGATTACGTTGAGGGGGTCTATAAATTGGTACGTGTACTTTTCTTGTGGTTAAAATCTTATTTTTATGTATGTACTTATAATTTGACTGTTCGGTTATTGTTATGTAAAACCGCCTGAACTAAGTGAATGTAGTTCGATGCGATAAATATGAATTATAAACTGTAATCTGAATGTGAGCATACTCTGTCTGTCTAATGTTAGATTCTCACCCACCTTCAAAATGGCTACGGAACGCAGTTAAGCCAACTCGCTGTTATAATGCTTTTAAGTGAATATGAAGAAATCATTCGACGGCACTGCGCTGTGCGTCCAAGCCGTCGAAGTCTCGATGTCCTCGTTAAGGAGTTCCCTCACATTTCGGCACACACATTGTGCTCAATCGTTTCAACACATTTTACTATGATAGTACGAAAGAAGTACTATCTGTACTCAAACCCAGAGGTGAGTTTTGTTTTTTACTACCGCTGAAGAAAATTATAGACGAAAGACGTTAAAATGAGCAAAATGCACTGACAGATGTGACATGTGCCCGTCTAAGCAACATATCGCGTACTTCTAAACTGATATATTAACGAGCAAACTGAATCGTGTAACTTTGATTCTCACCCTCTAATGATAAAAAAAAAATTACGAACGAAACTACTTTTTTTATTGATCAACTTAGGCAGCAATTTATCTCGTTTTATTCAATTTTTCTTCCAGAAAGTTGCAGAATACTACGCTAAATACAAGGCACAGCGGGGGATGTCTAACTCCAAGCCCGGATTTCTGCTAAAGATAGCAGATGAGCTCAATCTCTCAGCTGCGCTGATGTGCCGCTTTATCATTGAACACCATTTAAAGGATAAAAGTTAGCATATACTATGATAAGCACTGATATATAATAATATAAAAAAAAAAACACGATTATCAGAAATAGAGGTATTATAGCTACAAAGCTAGAGATTTTCATCATAATACCTCAATGTCAACTTAGGTCAACTTCACAGAAAGTCTAGTAATGATCTTGTCACGGCCTCATGCGTCATGTTAAAATGCTCTATTATTTGTTTTGAAAAAAAAGTCTTTAGTATGAGATGCATTTTGCGGAATTCGGGTCCGAATCATGTGCATTAAATCCTTTAAATTGAATGGATTTAACCATATTGCTATACATGAAACGAATAGGTATCATAGACATAATCTATTTTGTTTATGCAGTCAACGTTGTGAATCCTGGCTGCTTAATGCGCGTACGATTCGAACTTTTGGGTTGGTTTCTGGGTTACAGAAATTATGTAAAAATAAGTATTTTTTGCAGTATCAGACCTCGACTTGCGTCGATGGCGTAGAATTGTGTGAATATCGCGGAATGTATTAAATTGTAAAAATGTTTAGATAATAATAAGAATAGTCATTTTGGATAAAAGTAGATGAGAATGAGTATAACGTTTAGTATACAAGTATGTTTCGCATTTGAATTTCCGCTGTCAATAAGTCCGTCCTAATTCGACGATGTAGGTGAACCGTGCTCTAAACGCGTGCTAAACCAGCTGCTCAAGGACTCAACAAAAATTCAGGACGAAGTTCTAGCAGTTGAGGTGTTTCTGTGTACGCTGCACGATCCGTTCTACGGGCCATTCTCTGATGCGAGAAGGACTAGTGTCGGTACGTAAATACAACGAGATGTGGAGCTGCAATGCTTAGATACAAAATTTTCTTTTAAAAATAAATTTTAACGGTGCTACGAGATGAAGGGTACATTTATAGAACTCCAGAGAAAAGCACGTACGAAAGATTTAATTTATACTAGCTTGCTGTGTCATTTATGCTGTTCAAATGAAGCACTTAGTTTCCGAAAATTCACAGCATCCTTCATTATTCACATAAGAAGGTCTATTCCTGAGATTAATGCATCTCTGTAGCACAGTTTATTAAGACATTACGTATGTTCTTAAGTCATTTAAGATTACAAAGATATTCGACATACATTTTCCAGCTCGCATTTCATGCTCGTGGTGATACGATATTGATATGAGTTATATGCACTTTTTCTGGCGACTGAATTATTGAATACGCTACAATCTTTTCATTTGTCTGTTCGAAATCTAGGCCGGGAATTTGAACTTCTACTGAAAGATTCTCTTCGGTCGCGCGGGATTGGTTTCGTAGACGAGGCATCGCTTCGCAAACAGGGTTACGATAAAACCCCTGATATTAAGCTTGAGATCCCTGCCATCATTAATGGTAATTTGTAAACAACGCGTATTTGGCGGTTGGAATAAGATGATATCAAGCTTGTTATTGTTGGTGTAGCCATAACGTAACACAACTAGGTCCAGTGATTTTTAGTTCGAATTACAATAATGCGTAATACGTTAAGCACAATAACTGTACGACTGTGAAATGTGCGCTGAAGAATTAACCAGCATTTTTTTTCGATAAGCTATCATGATTCTTACCATTATTCATTTTCTTAGGCGAGTACGTAATTACTTGGATAGAATCGAAAGCATCTTTTGGAGATCCCGATTCTCACGAATCGTACGCGCGTGAGCAGTTCCATTCATATGCTAACCGCTTTGGGCCGGGGCTTGTCATTTACTGGTGCGGCTTCGTCGAAGAACTTCAACAACCCCAATCGCAGATGAACGTCGGCCATTCTCCGCTGAATAATCCATCCACAGGTTCTAGCCTGATAACTAAACAGCAAAATAATGCTTCAGGACAATTTTTACTGGCCGACCACTTACCCGATGACATACGATCAATGACTGAGTTCATTTGAGCTTGAAAATAAGCTCAAATGAGCATAGTTTTATTGAGTGAACAAAACTGTGGCGTATATCAAGCATATAAACTCGTTATTATAATGTATACTTTCGGCATAATATATATATATATATATATTATTAATGAATAGGGCGGTGCAGGGAAAGAATCTTTATTATGGTTTCTGTCGTACCGAGTCTGAGCAACAAGCTTAGGCTGCTTTTAATTTTTAGTTAGCTTAGGCTGAATTGCCATTTTTGGCTTCTTTAATCACTTTTGTACATAAGGCGCAAGCGACGTAATAGGTTGGTGCGCAGATAGACATGAGTACATTACGGTAAACTTAAGGGATTTGCTATAACTTACCTTAGACGCGATTTTCCGATACTTTTCCGACAGCTGATCTCTGTGGAGTGCAGTGCCTTCAATTGCAAGATATGAATAAGTAGTGCTGAATCCATCTAGAACATTTGCGTAACGAAAAGAAAGATCATTAATAAATTAAATTAAATACGTATCGAATGTATGTTTGTACAGGGGTGTAGGCGTATATCTCATCGACGTAAGTAAATATAGATACACATGCGTGTTCCTTAGCGGTATCGGGTCGAACGAGGGCTTGTTTACTGTATCCCGTATCGCCTTGACGTAACGCTTTATCTTTCGCCGCAAATCTGCAGCGAAAGAGCTGGTTCAGGTTCCGCTGGTTAACATATATGATTTGAGGTTACTGCTGGATGATGATTCCTTAATATGTTGAAAAGCCATAGTCCTTCTGTCTGTTTGTATCTCCTAAGATTTACGCTTATTCGGAAGTCGAAAGCTTGTACCAAATCGGCCTTCAAAATGGTGTTGATTTACGTATGCAATTAAAGATTATTCTATTACTCTACAGCACTTTTAAAATATGGTAGTTGTGATTTTGGGATAAGTAGACTACGTTAGACTAGAAAAGCTACGTTTCCAGAGAAACGTTCAAACACGGCAAAGCATAAATAAAGTGAGGTTGATGATTTTTCTTATATCACTGTATGTGTCTTTCTACCCATGACATTAAATAACTATAGTGAACTGTAATTTACGAAGCAGGTTTGACTTATTTTCCTTCATTGTATCATAACAGCGCAGGCACACCATAGTTCCTAATGGGACCGATCTCATAGAACGGATCGTTGCGAAATAGAATCCATTACAGTTCCAACGATAGGTTGCAGCAACGGTATGCAGTTGGCAGAATCGCCAACATCTTCTTCAACTTAGATTGGCATTGGGGTAGCCGATGCAGTTTAAAAATTTTGTGCTAATAATAGTAGTAATTTTTTTGGCCGATTCTCGCAACTTCGGGCTCTTAAATCCCTTTAAATACGTACTGGTATCGCAGGCGTGAAGTGCACATGCCCTGTCTTGTAGCCGCACAAACTTCACCTTTAGTCCCGTTTAAATGAGGTAAAGACGCACACATTTTTGGCACGAATAGTGCTAATGGCGAAACTTAGAAGCAATTGCAAATTATGCTTTAGGCCTGCTTCACTCCAGCGCTTGCTTATCGCACCGACTATCTTTACTTCATACAATTGGCTGTTTTTCTATTGAATGATTAAGAAAAACGAGTCTTTTGATTACACGATGCATCTTTGCAAAACAATACTCTAGTCGATTGTACCGAAAACTGTCATTTGCGTTTCTGTTGGAGTGATACGATCAGTGGAAACCATGCCATCTGTAAGTTTCCGCCATAGGCCATGTCTGTTTTTTTCTCTAAAGTCACTATGTACGATGCGTGCCCCATATGTTATGTTAATCATGTACTGAAAATGACGGCTGTTTCCTTTATTGACATTCAAGGTACGTTTGCTCATTGCGAAGACAGCGAGGGATTCACAAAACAAGCAGAACGTCAACACGGTAGTAAGCTATACATCATATGCATCAAAAGTTTCACAACTATTTTCGACTGTATTCTACCTGGTTTATTTTTTCGATGTTAAATAGCTGAATGTAGACAAATACAAAACTTGATCGATTTCTATGTTTGACAGTCATGTTAGCCGTACACCATCGTTTTTAGTGATATCTGGGACGGCTAATGTTGTTTCAGATGAAAAAAAGAAATTTCGACCGGATGCATCTGGTAGACCTGCCCGCTGACATTTGCCCAGGAGGGGTAGAATTGCGCCCTTTAGATGCAACTAGCAGCCGATTGGTAAGCTGCAGTATTTGTAGAGGTCACTCGGCAAATGCATTTTTGGCCTCATGTGGCCACTCTTTTTGCTCTCACTGTGCAACTCTACGCCCAACCGAGCCAACGGAACCTAGCGCCGACCCAGCCACGCGCAGGATTTGTCAGATTTGGTGTCATCCCTGCAAAGAAAGAAAAGATGCCGAACGCATACAAGTTACGCTAATCCTAGATAACATGAGGTTCGCCTGTACATGTGGATTTGAAGGAAAACTGCGCGAAATTAAGAATCACTTTTGGCGAAATCCGGAGGACGGAGGCCACCGGGAAGGAGTTGAAGACCTTGAGCACGAGACCGAGGACCTTCAAAATATTGACAGAAATGCTGCGATCGACCAGCTTCGTGAGCAGAACGAGAAAATTTTAGGGGAACTTCAGGATTTACGCCTTAAAGTAGAAAGTCGGCTTGATACGCGACTCGGCGGCAAGCAGTATATTTCAATTCACATTAAGGACTTAATCGAGCAGCATCGGGAAAAACGTGACGAGGTGTGGAGCCCGCTTTACCGATGGTGGGGTGATGGCTACCCTTGTGCAACACAAATTCACATAGACGTGGTGAAAAATTCTTCTTGGTTAGGTGTTTACCATCAGACCTTTCTAGAGGCCGCCACACACCCTTGGCCAATGAAGAAGCGAATTCGATTTGAACTGTTGAATTCAAAGGGTGGTGTAGTGAAAACCTACGAAGCTCCACTTTTTGTGAATGGAAAGTCTATTTCAAGGTGTTTTGCGGCACCTCTTAAGGATGGTGGATATGGGCTAAGCAAAGTAATTAAAGTGGATAAACTGCAGCAACATGGCGATATTGTCTCGGAGGATGGCATCCTGTCATTGACGGTTGAAGCAGTATCCCTTTAGTATATTCACATATCCTGCAACGGATGCAACCATTTAACAACAGCTGTTTAGATTCGAGGTTTCTATCGTAGTAACTGTAATCACATGACGTCACAAAATCACTTTTTGCGTACGTTTGCTCGCAGCATTCTGTGATTCACAGCAAGTATGGATACTGTCAGTGCTACTACCATTCAGCAAAGTCAACATAATGCACAAATGGAAATCTTTCTAGAACGATGCTTATATATGGCAGCAAGCAAATACAGTATGTGCTCTTTTTGTAGATTTGTTCTGATTGTTGAATTCTAAGCTAAATTCTATGTGCAGTTTTTCTCATGAGAGCACCAGCAAGCGAACATGTGCGAGACAGCTATTATAACATTAACGACAATCTAACATCGTAATCCACGTTGCCATCTGCGAGCGAATAGGATATGCTATTGTTTAAAATTACGGCTTGCCCAGTAACACAAATTGGAGACAGATGGGCGGCAAGTATCACAGAACGAAGTTGTCATCTCGGTGGGCGCTATGTAAATACTTGGATTGTTGAAGCAATACCATCGTTGCTCTTCGAAAGTATGAAGGATTTTTTTGTTAACGTTTTGTTCGATTGAGTTACGCTAACGTCAGCCTGAACTTTGCAAGTAGTCCGATAGATATTTTCAATCGCTACGACGGAGGTCAGTAGTTCCAATGCTACTTCATGTGTTCATTCTCTAGCCGCAAGTAACAACTATCAATATCGACGAAAAAGTACTTAGTGCCAAGAACAAATCTTGCCTTATAATACGCTTTACTACAAATCAAGTGTGTTGTCTTCAGATGTTACGTTTTTCGTATGCCTCAAAGTGCACAACTATTGCAACTGCACTGTGTTATGGCGAAAAACACTGTGTATACGAATGGACGACAAAATATTAGCGAGTTACGAATTGAGTACGAATATATGTTTGCATTCAGGTGTCACAAGTTGTAAGACCCGATTTGCATAAAAGGAATCTTAAGTGCACTCCTTTAAGCAGATAGCAGAGGATCTACTTAGTTTGGAAGCAACAGCGTTTCGCTTCCCGAAAATATGGGGTAGAAAGAAAACAGCGATTAACGTCAAATGGTTCTCTGAAAAGGTGCTTGACCTTCTTTTTTTATACTTTTTTCTTCATTGTTTGGTTCAAACAATATCATTTACCTATTCATGTATTACTGCAACTGTTTGTCTGTCCGACCCGACCAGAGATTTTCGGTTTGAGATTTTTGGCTGATCGATAGTTTAAATTTTAGAGCTTCATTCTAGAAAGGTGACGTCGATTAGGTATATACTTCTTTGGGAGTTTTTTCGTCCCATAGAGCGTAATGTTAGTTTTATTTTATTTAATAATTTATAAATAATTTAATAATATTAAAAATTAGCAGCCGAAGGTTCACATTTAGACATTTTTTCAAAGAAATTTTTGAAAGAAAAATCTCAAAATAGTAAAAATACTCCTCCGCGAAGTACCACTTTGGTAACGCCAATTCTTTATACAAATAAACAGACCTCAACGACCTAAATTAAAATTGAAACTCTTTTCCTATAGCTAAAACTGATATTTCAGCAGGAAAAAGGTCAAAACCCGAATGCAATAGCTCGGTCGATTGCTTGACACCGGGTCAACATCTTTTTTTGCATGCGTACATATATTGGAAAGGCTTTTTTCTGATATTAATCTGATAAAGTTTTTCGATAAGCTGAATCAAAATTCCAGATGCTCATACACCTAATTTTCAGTTTTCAGATCAAAAATGGCGTGTGAAAACTAAACATGGTGTGTCATGCAATGACGCTAAACGATGGATCTCAACGAACTGAAAAAATACTTAACACCTAAAATTGATTTTTTTTTTAGCGAAAATGGCGAAAACACTGTTGGTCGTACGAATCTTCAGGTGTAACAATTGAGTGAGCATTTTAGCGCGTTTCTAATAAATATGGAGTTGATTTCCGTGAAAAAATTCCTTAACTCATTCTCAGATGAACTCAATTTCAAGAAAAAGAAGTAATTATTTGCTAACAAAACCCTTAAGGAAATCTAAAAGTTTTGCTAACCCCCAGAACAATAAATTGTTTAAAAAAAGCAATTGTTTTCATTCAATATATGTAACTATTTATTAACACAAAGAGGTTGATATAAAAACCTTTAAGCCTGGGTCACGTCCAAGAAACAGAATAACCGTACCGAAATAGATCAGTCGAATTTTTATTTAATAGAATATGTTGGAACTTATTATTAGAAAAGTTAAAAACTTGAGCTTTTCCCGGAAGGGGGATCAACAGGTTTCCCGATGCTATCAACGGTTCTATGTCTATACATCTTTCACAAATTGGCCCATGGCCGACCATATTAACTGGCCTTCTGGGAACAGAATCATTTAGTCAACACTGAAAAAGCCCGTACCTACAATGTAGAAATTTACCCGAAGTCAACATATTACGAGAGAGACAAATTCATCTAGATGAATCTCTAGCTGATTACCAAAACGAACTCATATAATAATTACAGAGGGGTAGTGGGTTAGGTGAATTAATAAACCAGTTAAATCAACGGAAAACCAGGCGCAAAGTAAGGCCTGCGAGCTTATCTAGTCAATTAGTAAGAACACTACTGCAGGGCAGGTATGTATAATGTGTCCCCGTGATGGGCTAGTCCCTAATGTGTTTGCCAGCCAATCTTAGGAACGCGTTCGGCCCGAGTTCAAATCTGGGTATAATCACACACTTAGTTTCGTCCTGGAAACCAGCCACCTGATAGAATGCCTAACGACGATACAGGACATAAAACTCGAAACGTCGAGATATTAATGATGCGATGCTTAGGTTACTGGGAACGAACAAGCTAAGCGCGCTCGTCTGCTATGATAAAACAAATCCGTGAATTTTAGCGATCGCTTGAGTAAGTTAAACTATAGGTTTAAACATACTTTCCAGATCTAGAACCGACACGTAATGTATTATATAAGTGTCACTTGAATAAAATACGTAATAGATATTAATTTAGTTTTAGAACTCTTCGCTACTCTAACCTCGCGAACACCGTTTGGTTGGGAGCGTCTAGCTGGTTGCCATATCAACACGGGTTTAAAACAGTAATAACAAGCGGGGAACATCTGTATGATGGTGTAAACTACAGTAGAGAGTATCCGTCCGCCCGTAATTAATTAGTGAACGACACACGCAATATAAGCCTATCTATTCCGGGTGTTTATTAAACACGCCTTCGTCTTTTGCAAAGGTAAACTTTCATTCAATTTATCGAAATTTTGGTAACACAACAACGATACGTCAGAACGCACACGGCCCCGAAAAAATGGCCGCTGTCGTAAAGTCCGAATGTATGAAGTAGTGTAATGTTCATTGCCAGCTATATGATTTTTTCCTAAAATATGTTGCAATTGTTTATTAGCACGCTAGATAGTTTCGTTGAACGATGAACAAGATGTAAACTATTAGTCCAGATAAATAAGAAAATGGATATAAGAAGACAGAGTTCATTTAGGGTGACATACTCCATTTTAGGAAACTATCAACTTTGTAAAAAATCTAAAATAGACAACCCAAGGACATGAGTTAATATGAAAGGCAGTTTTACAAGTGTGATTAGATATTTTCTTGAATCGCTAGGTTATTATTATTACTTAGGAATGAATTTATTTTTATTTTCAATACGGAAATAGAGCAGTTTGAGGCAGACTAGCTTAACCATCTTCTTTTGACTACTTAGAAGGACTCAATTTGTGTCTAATTTGACTAGTTAATTTAACACGTAGCATACATACGGGCAATGTTTAAAATTTCAGAAGCATGACGCCACCTGAAGTTAAGGAGATACTTCCATCTCGAGGAGCCCTTTTTCATGAAGAGATCCCGCAATTTATTCTTTGCAAGCCTAAGATTCTTCCATTGAAATCAATGACACTTGAAAAGGTCAAGTCTCAATTCCTCTGTCTTTTCAGCATCTCAAGTTATTTCAATATATTCATCACTAGCATGTATAGAAATATATGTTTAACCGATTCTAATACACGTCTGTGTTTTACGTTGCTGTGCAGGTCGAAAACATGCAAAGAGAAGCGGAAGAAAAAGCCAAACAGGCCATTCGATCCTCAGGAATCACCTCGGTAACTGGATGTAAAAACGAATACAAAAATGATATTTAAAAAAGCATAAAGCATATGGCTTGACTATTTACATAGTTACCTATATTGTTAAAGCCTTTGATAAAATATAGGCCATATAGTCTAGACTTCATAAAACCATTGTTACTTTCCTAAGCGGCTGTTAAGACACTAACTATTGACACTGTATGCAATCCAATTTCCGATCGGAAGAATTATGCGTTTTCGCAACTAAAAATGTGATTGTTATGTTGCGGCCTAAAAATATGTGACGTGTTCATTACTTTTTTTCGAAACTGCTAAAATTATGTCTTATTGTCAAAATACCCACACCTATTTCCCAAATATATTGGTTTGTGTGATACGACATGCCAGCCTTATTTATTGGTATAGACTACATAGAATTTCAAACATTCACACTTTAAATTTTCAGAGATATAATTAAAAAATGTACAACTGCTATGAAAAACGTAGTTTGGTTTTGTCATGAGTTACATCTAAGATATACGCCGGTAAATGTTCACTATATATCGTTAAAAATGAACAATCTGTTCCAATTCAAACTTAAAAACAGCCTTATCTGGTTAATTTAGGTCAAGCTTAACTACCTCGGAAGCATCCATTTACATTTATGATTACCTTATTTAAAATAAGAACACCGTTTTTTAAATAGATATTAATGTCTTATTAATATTCCAGATCAACTTTCAACTTATATTATGATTTCAAAAGACGTGTGGTATAGTAATAATATTAACTATCAATTTCATCTTGCTGGAGCAAGTTGAGCTCTCCTGCATCGATTTGGCCCCTTGATTTTGCTCATGATCACACCTTCGTCTAAGTTGAAAAACTGTAAATTGGTGTCGCGAATTACCGGTATTATAGTAATTATAAGCCGAATTATATACCAGATTTTGCATCGGGAATCAATCGTCGTCACATAGTGGAACGTCCGTTAAAGCTAGTTATTTTTTCGGGGGTTGTTAACGGTGACGTAGTGGTAAACCACAACGAGAAGGAACAGCGAGACGCCCATAAGGTTGGCAAAAACTGCCAGTTGAACGTCAGAAATCATCGCGAGGATAAAGATCGCGGGTGATAAAGACAGATAGCTCTGCTAGCTAATCGTCGTTCCGCACTCCCCTGTAATTCAAATTGAGTCAATAACAATTATAATCTAAACTGTAAATAAAAGTGAAGGATTCTTTAAAGAAAATGGTCTATTTTTATGTCACACGTTGGATCGTTCTTTTCCAAATGATTACGTCAAATAAATTCAAAAGTTTATATTGGTGCTTTCCTGCAGCCG